ATGAAATTTACAAATTTTTATTAATGTTAAAAAAAAATCAATAAAAAAAATGTCATTAAATAAGATATTTTTTATTTTATCACAAAATCGAAAAATTTAAAAAATCATCAAATAATTGACGTTTTAATAATAAAAATACTATAAACAATAAATATTACAAACTAGGACAATACATAATTAATTTTTTACATTCATTTTATATGATAGTTTAAGATCGCCTGCCTGATATGGTAATCGTATTAATGTGCAATTTTTTTTTAATTAAAATTTTCTTCCTTTAAAGCAATCATAACATTTTATAAAAATTGATTGACATTATATATATACATATAATTATTTATACAAAAATGAGACCCGCGATGGCATGGCACACCTTTATAGGCCAGCGGCATGATCAATCCTCAAATTAACCCGAGGACAAGGACATTGTTCATTCAATTTTTCATTCATTAAAAAATTTATATGTTTTGCTGATTAGTATTTATTCTATTCTGAAATATTAAATTTCATTGGAATCTAAATTCATGCATAAATTTCAAATGATTTTTTAACAATACTCATAGGATATTTTTCCCTATTTAAATTATTATAACCCCCTTTTTATTTGGATTACAATGATATTTAAACATTTTTCAATTTATCACCCTGATAAATAAAAAATTTCTATCATAATCACTCCCTTTAGGCTAGTTACATTCCAATTTATCATGAACTTACTCTCTGCAATAATTATTTTCATTTATCAAATTCCCAGGATTTTTTTTAACACATTATATTTATTACGACCTTTATATGATTACACCAGCAATCATATATTCAGTTTATATTATTTGACAATTCGGTAGTATTGTTAAATTGTCTAACTTTGACCCTCTCAATGGAAAATTTTTGGTTTAAAAATATGGCTAAGCTGTTTTATAGTTGACTAAAGCTAGGTAGTTTAATAACGCTACATTTCTGGCACATTACATGGCCACATGTCCAGATTTTTTCATAATTAAAACACAATGAATCATCATTACCTGAATTCTAACATTTCCAATTTGTTTTTGTTAATACCGGAAGTTTTTCTTACATTAGTATTTCCCAATACTAATTTTCTTACAGGAAAACTGGAAGAAAAAATTAGTTCTTTTACCATACAGTTTTCAGCTTTAGGCCCCCAACAACCACACCGGCTTACATATAATATTATTTAAAATATTCCTCTACATCAAAATTTTCACAAAATTTTCTATCCCAAAAACCATTTTTTTTCATTAAGCCCAATTTTTGACATATATTTGGCATTTACCTAAATTGTAGTTCGCATTCATCAATTTACAAACATTCTAGTATATAGCCTTGATTACATCTTTCAGTACCTTTAATTGGTAAAGGATAACTACCAATCTCTCTAACCATTCCGGATGATCACCAAGATTATCCCTTATTTTTTTTAGCCACCTTTGGTTCATAATTTTTGATTTCATTTAAAACTATGTTTAAAATATTTTCCTTTTATTTAAATAATTATCCGATGCCATAGGCATTCTTCTTTAGTTTATTTGATGCCTTTGTCAATACATTGGTATTACCATTTTTCATCTTATCCCTCAATTTATTGAGCACCATATCTAACTCACAGTTAATGATTCCCATTTTACTAAGAGGAACAGTTTTTTTTTCACCAAATTTTTACCAATTATGAATAATATATAATATATTATTATAAATAACAACACTGTAAATAAATGACCAATCAAATTCATTTAAACCACTTATTTAGAGCTTTATAATATAAATCTTTATGGAAGAAAATCTTGTTAAGCATATTAGGCCTATTATCATAACTAAAATTAAAAACCATCTCATGGTTATTTTTTTAAAAAAAATAACTTTTACTTGACACTGCGTTGTATAAGAAAAATTTTCTTTTACCTTTGAAACCACCAGAAATCAGTATCCTGGATTCACGTGAACCAATTTCTTAATCTTCCAAAAATCTATTAATTTCTTACTAACTTCTTACTTAATTCTAGATACAATAAAATATTTCAGATTTCTTTTTATTTCAAATTACTAATAAAAACAATAAATTTTTTTTACAATTCCGCATAAATTTCAAACACCGAAAAATTATCGAATCTTATTTTATTTCCGACCAATCAACAATACGCAATATTGTATGATTGACGGTTTCTCTATAATATATTAAAAAAATATCGTGAAAATTACGTATTATACTGCCAAGTATGGGACCAAAATATCAAATATTATTTTTACCCTTGGGGGTGATAACCCCTTTGTCCCCATCATAGCTACATCCCCTCCGCTCATTTGTGGCCGCTTCTGAATCTTTTCACAACTGCTTCCATATACATAAGTAGAAAAGCACATATCTCTCTCCCTTTTTATAAACCCAAACAAAACATTGGCCATTTAATTATTCAATTTTTAAAAATTATTGGCCCGAATTATTCACGTAGCATTCTTCTCTTCAATTTTATATATTTGTTCTTTTTAAAAAATGCATGCCGTCATGTTTGGAATACCTACACCCTCTGAATTTCAGAACAATTTTCCCATTAACTTTTTAAACTCATCTATAATTTATATTAAATTTTCCATATATTTTTTTATATAAATTATAGATGACTTCAAAGGTTTACAGCAAAATTGTTTACAATTCATAGGATAGGATAAAAAAAACAGATTAAACGCGCAGATCTAACTGCATTACCATCCACGGCTCTCTTTCTTCAACCTCCTCCCACCCAACATACAATTTACTATATTAAATTTTTTTTTTATTATTATTATACAATTTTTTATATATTAATTTACAAATAGTTTACATGATATTTTTATTATATATTTTTAAATTACGTACGGTTTTACTTTTAACGTTCAATGTATTATTTTAAAATTGTGATATAGTTTTATATAAATCTATGATATTCCTAATATAATAAAATGAATTAATTTCTTTAAAAAAAAAAAATTTGTTTTTAAAAAAAATTAAAATTTCTATGTTTTCGGCATTTATAAATTTTTATATTAGTTTAACTTATTATTTAGCTTCAAAGTCATTACCTATACCTAAAAAGTGTTGTACTTTGTATTTTTATTATATATATATATAATGATATATATGAAATTTCAATCAAAAGTGAGTTTTTTTTTTGTTAGTGGATTAAAATATAAAAGAATGAACATGTGTTGCTTTGTCTATGTATTTGTGTTTTTGATGAAAAATAAAAAGAAAATTTTTGGTCATATTTTTACTTCTTTATACTTATATATTACTTCTATAACTTCTACGATGATCAATACCCAATGTATTTTATTAGGCCTATTACGGCCAATTTCTAGCAGCAAAAAAAAAAATGCAGAAATAATGTAATATAAATTAAATACAAGAAATTAGGTGGGCAGAGGGGAAAAGATAAAATGTATCATTTATTTTAAAAGGCATTAGGAGCCTTGATTTATTCTATATTAAATGAGGAGGATTAGAAAATAATATATAAAAAAATATTACACACCATCATAAACATGGAGCCTTGAGGAATTATTGGATTGATACCGGGAACGTTTTTAAGGGTGTTTGTTATTGTTTGAGCATTTTCCTAATATAATTTATGTATAATATTTTAAAAAAATAATAGAATAACTAATTAAAATAAGGAGAAGATATGCTATATTTTATTGCATATGCTATATTTTATTGCAGGGCACTACTATCAGGTGGTTGGGGGGGGGGGGGGGTGTATAACGCAGGATGATCAGAAAGAGGGTGGTAAGAATTAGGTAAGGGGTAATTAACTTATTTAATAATTGATACCAATCAGGGAATAAACGCCGGAAGAATGAATCAATCGCACAAGTAATTCTAAGATATTATTAAAGAAAGAGTGAAAGAAAGAAAGAAAGAAAGAAAGAAAGAAAGAAAGAAAGAAAGAAAGAAAGAAAGAAAGAAAGAAAGAAAGAAAGAAAGAAAGAAAGAAAGAAAGAAAGAAAGAAAGAAAGAAAGAAAGAAAGAAAGAAAGAAAGAAAGAAAGAAAGAAAGAAAGAAAGAAAGAAAGAAAGAAAGAAAGAAAGAAAGAAAGAAAGAAAGAAAGAAAGAAAGAAAGAAAGAAAGAAAGAAAGAAAGAAAGAAAGAAAGAAAGAAAGAAAGTAAGTAAGTAAGAAATCTTTCTTTAATACCTATTCAATTTTTTCCTTCTTCTCCATTATATTTTTGAAAGAGCTATCCATAAATCTTTAAAGTAACAAACCCTCGAAATATTGCACAGATTAAAATTTTTATATATAGATATGTGGTAAAATAGACAAAAGGAGAAATTTAAAAAAATAAAAGGTGCAAAATTATTTTAATAGGGTATTTTACGTAGGCTAATTGAACAGCGTTTAGAAAGTACGAATCGGGAGTTTTGGTTAATATTAAAGGTAGAGCGGCTTGTATCATGGAGTTAACGCCAAAACTGGCCTGGCAAAATCGGTTTATACCATTTTGGATCTGTATCAAGTAAAATAGAATACCCTCTTTAAACATAACGAGGCTGAAATTTTATCGGCAAAGACTAGTGTTGTTAAAAGGCTCGATTTGAGCCGATTTCTAAAAATGGGCCAACTCATTATTGCGGTCGGAACTAAGCCTCGAGATTTCGCTAACAGATGTTCCAAACAGCTGTGGCATCTATGAACAAAATCTTCAGCCTTGCTTAATAATATTCTGGATAAAATATTGAGTTAGTTGGTTTATCACTAATAAGGACACAGAGACTAATAATATTGCATTTATATTGGTATAATGGTAGTTTTTTCAAAAATATATGAAGAAAAAAATTACTTGATCCATGGAATGCACAGGGTCATAAATGGCCACCCATCCCATTCTCCAACCCGGTACTATGTATCTGGTTAATAATAAATATATATATATAGGTTAATAGAAATGAATCAGAAGCAAACTTTAAGAGGTTCATCTTCTATGGTGTTGGGTTAGAAATCTCAAAAGAATTACAATATTAAGACATTACCAATTTTTTATAATCATGAAAACTTCGTGGGAGAGACCGGGGATAGTGTTATCCCGAGAGGTATTTTTTTAAAAAAAATAATTTTAAAACCACCTGAATGCAGGGCACGAAAATATTAAAGAAACAAATAGTTAGGTTTATAGACTAATTAATAGTTTCTTAGTTTTGACGAAAATTTCCATTTTCGCCGATTCAAAAAAAATGAGCCTAAATCATGATTTTATCCAAAAAAAAATAATTTCCCAAGCCTCGAGATTCGATGAAATCCCTTGATCAAAGCCGTTATTTTGTAAATAATACTCATATATATATGTATACCATAAACTATATATATATATAACGTATTATATATATATTTATTATAAAAGGGCTGATATAGGAGAATAAAAACCCGAAAGATATGATTAATAAAAATTAAACCTTTTGCTTAATGAATTGCATATTAAAATTGGCACGGTGGAAGATAGATCGGCAATGGAACAGTAGATTTGACCAGGAAAAACCTTAAATTATATAATATGTTTAATAGATAGATTTATATTTGTTAAATCAAGCCTAGCGAATTCAAAACAAGGCATAATAATTCCCTACCCCCCCCCCTTCCACTACTTTTCCTTCCCTCCATTCCCATCTATTTCCTTCAAAATACATGGCTATTTCTTAATGACATGATTCTTTACGACTCCTTTGGGTTTTTACTAAATTTGATTATTACGGCAAAGTGAGGTTTAGCACTATACTTGATTGAGCCTAATTCTGGCCGATAAAATTTAATATCTTGGGGATATCGGGGAGGAGGGTGGGGTGTAAAAGCACTAAGATTTTTGAAAAAGCGTCTGTTCACTCTTGAATTAATCGTTGATTTTAGGACTGAGACATTGTAAATTAATCTAGTATTAAAATATCACTCGAGTCTAGAACAGGAATCAAAACATGGTAGGAACGGCAAACTTAACCTGAAATAGCAATCGGAACCGATTTTAAAGATCCAAGGAAGCGGTTCTTCAACCAATAGCCCAAGGTTGAGGAGCCTGGATCAACGTCTGGGGTGAGCGGTAGAAAACTGAGGAATTAATGAGAGGAAAGACAGGGATGAGCGGATGCATATTCTGCCGGGTTTACATGGCAAAGGTGTCTTTTAGCCAGGAGGAAGCCGAGAAGAAATAAAAGGACCATTTATTAGATGAAAAAATAAATTAAACTAAAATCTTAAGTAGAAAATTTTGGGGGTCTAGAAAGAAAACATGAAATTGTTACCATATCGGATAACTGGGATAAAGAAAAATTGTATACAAAAGGCATAGTGTAAATAAATCGAAAATGATGGGGGGGGGGGGGTACTACGAGCATAATCAATAAAACTCCACTAGTAATTTTCATAATGAACCTCTACTTTGAATAGTAGAATTCGAGATGATTGACTTAGTATTAATTAAATGATGACGGGCGTTCGTAAAAAAATGACATTTTTATCTTTTCACCCCCAAGATAAATTACTCATAAAAATATATGAACTAGGGACACTATGAACATTTATTTTGGATCGAATCAAAATGGAATTATATAAATATATAAAATATTCTTACAAAATGAGCGTAGACCTCGTCAGATATCACGGGTATATCATATTTCGATACTATTTTGAGGAAACTAAGAATGTGACTCTTGGAATATACGGACCCACATGGATTCGATGGATTATTAATTATTATGGCTTTCGTTTTAGGGTTTATCAAGGATTCTAAATGTTCTAAATTGATTTCCCATCGATTTTGAGGCTATAAATGAATGAAAATATCGGTAAATAACTTATCAAAATAATGTAGTTTCCTAACTTAGAGAAAGGGTATATAAAATAGTTATTTTAAAATACGCATATTATAAAGTGTATATTAAAAAGGTTTTATGATAAATAATTAAAATTCCTTAATACTGGTTGTTTGGGTAATGCGCAAAAATGGGAAATCGATTAAATGCGTTGAAATTGGAGTTAATTAATTTATTTCTGCTCTTTAAATTTCGGTTCCTAAGGCTATGATAATAATTTACGGCTAAAAACTATGAAACCATGTTATATCAGCATAAAATAGATGAATTATCCAACTATATTCCTAATCGATTAATTAACCATTTTCAAAAAATCAAAAGGGTTTCTATACGTTTGCTGTAAAAAAAATATATATCCTTTAAAATTAAATTACTAGATACATAGGGTTTGATCTTAAAAAGGTCACATTTTAAAATTTTTATAACTATGATACCAATCACTTGCTTTTGCTTGAAATAAAATTTCATGTTTTCCATTCAAGGAGTTGGGTATTCAGTTTTTACCACAATTTAGGTCATCTTTTATATGGTAAAAAAAAATTAGTTATACTATAGGCCTAAGACGTTTATACGCAATATTGTGATAATGCACTTATAATTCGGACACACACACTGACCGACAGACATAGTCTCAGTTGTCAATTCAGTTAAAGCCGTTTCCCTCGGCATACTCAGTGCAGGGAAATCATCAAATGGGTTTTAACCTCTTGTGGTATTTTTTCGAAACTGGAGCCTAGTTGACTCTTAAAGATAGAATAAATACTCGTCGACAGTATAATTTTAATACCTTATAGGGAGGGGGGGTCAATTTAATTAGTTTATTAACTTTGTGAACAGGCCCCATTTCTCTATCTAACATAAATAACTCACTGAGATTAATATCCCAAAGACCAATAAATAGTCCCTTTCAACGCGTTTACTCTTACAACACGTATGGTACGAAAGTTCCTTAAAGAGCAATTGGTTATCGCATCACCTATAAAGAAGATGAGTAGCAACGCTCCCTACCTGCGAGAAAGGCTTGCCATAAGTATATCAAATTATTTTAAATTTCATCTCTGCGCTGGACAATTGATGAAAATTCAAAAAGTTATGCCTTTCTATGCGCATTTGCCCTATATAGTATATATATTGTTATTTTTCATTGTAATCATGTGTATACGATTAATATTTTTTTAATTTAAATTTTTTAATTTTTATAAAATCGACTATATTTAATTCTTAAAAAAAAAATTTGAGGATATTAAGTTCTACACACCTTTTAAAATAAAATATAATATTTGGGAGTTTAGAGTTATCTCTCATTCACAATTAGTACGAATTCGAGGAGAAGTTAAGTGCTAAAATGTGAATTACTGGACAACCCCTCATTTACGGTATTTTTGTACTTTCCGCCAAAAATTCGCGTTAACTATGAATGAGGTATTGAGATTTTAGAGAAGGCGACGTTTAGCGTGACCCGCTATGTAAAACTAACCAGAGTCTAGCTTCGAGCCAAATTACTGGACTCTAGGACCGAGTGTCATTATCCTGGTAATTGAGGTTACAAGATTAAATCCCCATTTAACTGTCCCCTTCTTGGATTGGATAACGCCCCATTCTATGTCATATGTTGGGCATTAAGTCAACCCTTCCGAAATATATTTTTCTATTTCTATCAAGCCGACTAAATTTATACTTAAAATTGATTTATCTCAATCGATCTTATTATGTTATAATAATTATACCAATAGATCGTAGCTCGAGAATTCTATTCCATTCATTTTTGAGAATGTCTTGTATATGGGAAAACAAGGTTTTGGAATAAGTATATTGTCACCCTCATCGGCTAGGCATTCGATTGACCATAAAAGGGCTTGAGTGCAACCGGTTGTCAAAAATACATTCTTTGTAATATATTCAAAAAAAAAATAGAAAGAAAGAAAGAAAGAAAGAAAGAAAGAAAGAAAGAAAGAAAGAAAGAAAGAAAGAAAGAAAGAAAGAAAGAAAGAAAGAAAAAAAGAAAGAAAGAAAGAAAGAAAGAAAGAAAGAAAGAAAGAAAGAAAGAAAGAAAGAAAGAAAGAAAATCAAAAACATGGTTTTAATTGACAATTACAAGTATGAGGTGTTTTGCTTTTTTTAATTTGAAAGATAAATTATTAGGTATATGAGTCCGTGTAATTAATGCGAGAAAGAAAAACGAGGTTTAATAGAATACTTTATCTAGAGGTTATAAAATAAATAATATGGCTTAACAGAGGATACCTAGAATTTTTATCTTATTTCGGGGCTTAATTGACTCCCAAATATCTAATAATGATATTTAATAGGGAGCATTCAATAGCCTTTCCCATGTGACTATCGATAATAAATGATCTAACGCTAGCTGACTCCAAAATGCTTAGCTAAGTTTCAAGTCAATTTTTTTGAGGGGCTTAACTTCGATTAGCAGACCTTTTTTTCTTCGATCAACAAATTTTTATTATAACTTAACCTGATATTTAAACGTATTCTTATGGCTTAATCTGGAGGGGTCGTATAAAAACCTTTTGTCCCGACCCTGATTTTATGTCTCCTTTATAAGGTTTATCCTGGTAAAAGCGCTTTTTTTAACATAAGCTTTGAGGTATTAAGTGTTTTGACTTTAGGTTTAATTTATTCTTCTGGTCTAATTTCGAGTTCGTAACCAAATTTTTTTTGGTCTATTTCATATGTATTTTACTTTTTTTTTTAGCGTAACCTTGAGTTTTAATTGATTGAATCTTCTGGCATAAACCTGTAGGACGAAGCAAATTACTTTTGTTTAATATTGATTTATAACCTATTTTTAAACCTTAACCTGATAAAAGTCACTTTTTGGTATAACCTTTAAGGTTTGAACTCATTTATTTTTGTTTTAACCTCTAACCCGTCTCTTCTGGCTTATTCTCTAAGTCGAAGCCATTTTATTTTTGACCTAACCTTGATGTTTAAGCTTATTTCGCTTAACTTCGAGGTTTAAGCTGATTCAAATGGCTTAATATTGAGGTTCTAAGATATTTTTTTCAGCCATATTTATGATTTAAAACCTTCTTTTTTTGTCTTAATCTTAAAAGTTTACATTAATTGAAGTCCCCACTTTTAGGGCCTTAACCCGGTAAAAGCCGTTTATTTTTCTTATATAAATTAAAATATTGGAGAGAAAAGGGGAAGAATATCGATTAGCCATATTGTATACCATATCACGTGGTATGTGGATGTGACATTCCGCCAAATAAATATTGTAAGTATTATCTCTTAATTCAAAATGTGTTTTTTAATAATTATGAAAAAATATAAACAAGACATTATCTATTTTATTGATTTCAAAATTATCGAAAATAATTATAGTAATAATTTTAAAAATATAACAATTATGGTTCAAAAGGTAACTAAGGGATGAGCAAAAAATGCAAATTAAAAACAATATAATTTTTTAAAAAATGCTTTTATTTTAATGAAATTTTTAAACACTCAAAAATAAAATTTGCAAAATTAATTTTAATATAAGGCTGTGCCTAAACCAATTATTATGGTCTTTAGCGGGCTTGAGAAAATTTTCCCAACAATATGGTTTTCAGAGATTTACCTATCTCCAGGCTTGGGAAAAAATTACAAAATTATTATGGGTTGGCCAGGTTTGAGAAAATTCAGGCCAATGTCTGGTCCATATATAAAATTAAAAAATTTTCAAGCATATTTTAAAATTTACCCAACATGATTTATATCACAAATTTAAATTTTATTCTAAATATAAAATTTAATTTTTAAGATACATTAAATTACGATCTCAAAATTTTTATCCTGATTTTTATGATAATTTTTTTAAAGTGGGAAAAGCCACCAACCTTAATCCACCTACCCCTTAAATCAAGGTCTTAAATTTCTAATTTTTTAACAACACTTATTATGGAAGTTAATTCAAATTTAAATTCCCTTAAAGCTTGGGAGAATCTTTTAACCTTTCCTTTTAAAGTTTTAATTTAAACCTACAGATAAAAATAAAAAAACTATTTTGCATGAATGTATAAAATATAAAATAGTTTTATGAGAAATGGAAAATTACGTTCCTGTTGTAAGAGCTACATTTGATTTTGCCCATAAATGCAAAATTATATCAAAAAAAAATAGACCAAGGGGACGTATGTGGAGCTCTTAAATTAGCTTCATCTAATGATAAATTGGGTCCATTTGATGAACATACTTTTACTTTATTAAAAGAATTGCACCCTCAGGCTTTTCCTGAAGATCTTCCCATCCCTATAAAATCTAATTTAATCGAAATAGGTAAGGAAGAACTAATTAAAACAGTTTTATCTTTTAATAAAAACTCTGCAGGGAGAATTGAGGGTTTTCGCCCCTCTTATTTCCAATTTTTAATTAACCCTAAAAATCCATATCAAGTTTTTAAATTCATTGGTAATACTTAGTGAAAATATATTGAATTCCCAGTTTATGCAAGATTTATTGAACAGTCTTATGGCTGTAGAATTCCTCTCAAATTCGGTGAATATACAATTCAATCTGACGAAGTTATTCAACAAGGAGACCCTTTGGGCCCTCTGATCTTTAGTTTAGGTATACATAACCTAGTTCATTGTTCAAAATTCTTTTTTAATTTAGATTTTAACATATGGTATCTAGATGATGGTACCATTTGCGGACCTTCTAAAAATATTCTTGCAGCGTTATAATATATAGAGAAGAATTCTCTAAACATAGGCCTTAATCTAAATAAAGCTAAATCTTAAATATACTTTTCTCGAAGTCCAAGGGTTTAAAATCATTAAAAAAAAGTGAAATTAATCTTCTAGGTTCACCTTTAAGCAGTTTTTCCAACTGTGAGGTGTTCGTGGAAAAAATTTTCGAAGGCTTATTAGGACTTGAAACTATTTTAAACGAAATTCCTTCACACCAGAGCTTTTTTCTTTTAAAAAAATATTTATTTTTACCAAAGATTTTACATATTTTTAGATCTTCTTCCTTTTTTTTTAAATAATGAAATTATCAATCGTGTTCATGAATATTTTAGAAGTTTATTAGAAGTTTATTAGAAGATATTTTAAATGTTAAATTGGAAGATTTTAATTGGGGTTTCTCATAATTACCCTCGAATATGGGTGGTCTAGATTTATATCCTTTAAATCTTATATCTCTTTCCTCATTTTTGGCATCGCGTTTGATGAATAACGCCATGATATCTTCTTTTATCTCTCCTAAAGATAATCTTTTAAACTCAGCCTTGGCAGCCTGGGTATCTTTAGCTCCACCTGAAGCTGTCTTACCCACAATCTTAACACACCAATCTATTTTCGAACCTTTAATTAAAAAAAAATTTTAAATGATCTCATCAAACCCCCCCTTTGGAGTATATTCAACTATTACAGAATGCTGACGTACTAGTGGTTATGAATGGTTGGAAGCATTACCAAGTCGTAACCTAGGTAACCTCTTATCAGGTGAACAATTAAGAGTTGCCATAGGCTATCGACTTGGATGTAACATTGTTCAACCACATACATGCATCAAATGTAAAATATTAGTTGACTCCAAAGGGAGACATGGTCTAAATTGTATATAGTCAAGGCAGGGCAAGGCATGCAGCAATTAATTTAGCTATTAGCCGTTCTCTTACCAGGGCCCGAATACCAAGCATCCTGGAGACTACAAATTTATCATTAGATGATGGCTTAAGACCAGATGGCTTAAATTCCGTGCCTTGGTCTTTAAGGAAATCCTTAATTTGCGACTTCACATGCGTATCTTCTTTCCAAAAAAAATTTAAATTATAACCCGGTTGATATAGCCGAGAGAGAAAAAACAATGAAATATTCCAAATTCACAAATTATATTTTTACACCGATCGTTATCTCTTTCCTTGGACATATGCCAAGCGGAACTTTAAAGTTCTTAAAAAATATAGGCCATAAGACAAGAGCCCTTACATCAGAACTAAAAGAATTCTATTTTTTAAAACAAAACCTGCAAATCACTATTTTAAAATATAATTACTCATGTTTTTTGGGAACTTGTAGTCCCACACCTCCGTTTTTATATAATATTGTTTGATTTTATTTTATATTTGATATGTTAATTTTAATATTAATTTTATTTCTATATATATTTTTAATTTTATTAATGGGTTTTAGTTATGATCTAATTATAAATACGTATTTTAGGAACCTTTTAATTACAATAGAAATAAATGGCAAAATTTTATGAAAGTTGCATGGAATTTGGTTTTTTGATCAGGACTGGCTATGTCTGCAAAAAAAAATTTTAGGCCAATGTCTACCCCATATTTAAAATTAAAAAATTTCCAAGCATCTCTATTTTAAATTTTATTCAATATGATTTCTATCACAAATCCAAATTTTACTCTAAATATAAAATTAAATTTAAGACATTATCATTAAATTACAATAGAAATAAATGGCAAAATTTTGGGAAGCATGGGACGTGATTTTTTGATCAGGCCTAGCTGTGTCTGCAAAACAAAATTTTGAGGCCAATGTCTATAGCCCATATTTAAAATTCAAAAATTTAGAAGAATCTCTATTTTTAATTTTACCCAATATGATTCCTATCACAAATTTAAATTATGATATTTCTAATACCCTTAAGGCTCACGGGGTTACATTGCAACAATTTTACCTCTTTTTCTCTTAAATTTTAATATAAAGCATATTTAGTACCATATACACAAACTAATTAATTACCCCTCAACCCCGTCATTCTTGACGGCTTATTAACTAGTAATAATAATAATATAATTATAGAAAATACAAAAAATTTAAAATACGATTTCATTAAAATTTGAAAAAGTTTTGAAACTTTCCGAATTTTTTTTAATAAGATAATTATAATGATTGTTTGGGACAATGCAAGCTAAATAAAAATAAATTGTATTTGTAACAATAAAAATAAAAATTTTGGTCATTCGTACCAACATCCATCCAGGTAAGATAAAAAATGATAACATATTATAGTATACTTTCCAATCGATTTTGATTCCCTGCTCAATATATTGATTAGCTATAGCTTGTCTAGCCGATTCGAGTCCTTTGATTTAAAAAATAAATTGAAAAAAGGAGGAAGGAAGGAAGGAAGGAAGGAAGGAAGGAAGGAAGGAAGGAAGGAAGGAAGGAAGGAAGGAAGGAAGGAAAGAGATAGAAATAAAATTAAGGGCATATAAATAATAAATATTTAACCAGGTGAAGGAACGTAGGAGTTGAATTGTCCACTTTTGACAGAGTTTATGACGGCTTCCTTCATCTCTTCGTGGATCGGAAATAGATCGTAAAGAGAAGGATCACCTTTTAAAACGTTAAAATTGGTTACATTGTTTCTAATCAAAATTATTTTGAAAATTCGCCAGATAAGAATTGGAAAAAAAATTATAATAATAATAATAATAAGAATCTTTTTCTTTCAATAGTATACATGGTATACTAATATTAATGCAATCGTTTTTTTTAAAAGATAGATAAATAAAGCCTAATCGATCAATTTATCTTCAAAGATGTAAAAATAAATAATGGACGACACGAAAATGAGTAAATATAAAAATCTAACTAATTTTTATTTTATCCCGACAACTGCTACAACCAACCAACATTTCGCTAATAATGTTCAAATTTTTTAAAACTAATATTGAAACAGAATCAGCCTCTTCACCAATGGGTCCAAGAAATATATATATATTTGTTAGAAAAAGAAAAAATAGTTAACGTTTCCCGTGGGCACAATTGTTAAATTTGCAATGTTATAATTTTATTTTTAGCAATTTTATGTCTTTATAAATTTTGTTATCTTATAAATGCTTTGAATTGAAGATAGAATGGAATAATAAATTGGAAGAGCTATAATTTATGATAATTTTTTTTAAAAAAAATCATATTTTCGAGAAATTGGTCAAGAAAAGAAAGAAAGAAAGAAAGAAAGAAAGAAAGAAAGAAAGAAAGAAAGAAAGAAAGAAAGAAAGAAAGAAAGAAAGAAAGAAAGAAAGAAAGAAAGAAAGAAAGAAAGAAAGAAAGAAAGAAAGAAAGAAAGAAAGAAAGAAAGAAAGAAAGAAAGAAAGAAAGAAAGAAAGAAAGAAAGAAAGAAAGAAAGAAAGAAAGAAAGAAAGAAAGAATGATAAGATAAGATAAATCATCTAAGAAAGTTTTAAAAAAACTAATTTTCAAGCCTAAGCCAGACCAAACAGAAGTGCAAATTTTTCGCTTATAATTATTAATCGATAAGATTATCTTAATATTTCATTTATTCATTTATCTTTTCGAATATTATTTTCTATATTTTCTTTCCAAATTTATTAATAACAAATTTAAAATTAAAATAAATATAATAATATTTTAAAAGAAATGATGATCTGAAAACCTTGCGACAAAGATATGAGAGATTTGTCAGGATTGGGCTGAGTGGACAAATTTTCCAGGAGAATACGTATAGGATTAGTGCAGTTACCAGCTCGCTTGGACATCGTAATCTACTTGATATAACATTTATAATAATGTGTTCTCGGATACTATTTTATTATTTTTATGAGATTATTCCTAAATTCTCTGTTAAAAAATATATATATTATATACTATTCTTAAGCGGTTTTTCATTATTCTCATTTGTTGGGGGTCACTTCTTTTTTTTTTATATATGTTAGCGTCAACGTGTTTTTTCCGGTAATGGGTTATTTTTTTACAAACTTAAAATCCCTTTTTGAGGCGTGTTTTTTTTAAATTTAAAAATCTGATTTTGCCGGAAATGTATTGCGGCATGTTTAGAATACCTATCTTATGAATTATAGATAATTTATCCGTAAACATTTTAATCATTTATAATTTATATGAAAAATCAATGGTAAAACTAGTTCAAAAAGTTCACTACAAAATTATCTGAAATTCATAGGGCAGGTATTCCGAACATGATGGAATACATTTCTTGTAAAATAAAAAAATTTTTAAATTTAAAAAAAAGCCCTCAAAAAATGATTTAAAATTTTAAAAAAAATAACACATTGCCGGATAAAATACATCGATGCTAACATATACATTAGTCGTTTGAGAAAATGTGATGGTAGCCCTAATAAATTCTCTCTTAACTAATTTAATATCGCAATTATAAAATGAATTTTTTAAAAAATGAGAAAAGTGTAACCCACGAGACCCCCAAGTGGGGTTTATGAACACCCCCCCCTGATTAATATGATGAAAATGTGATTACTTCAAATTCTTTAGTTTGATTGTCAATTTTTATAATTAGTTTAACTATTTATTTTTTTTAATATATATAAAATATATGTGTTTCGAAATTAACTTTGGTTTCTTAAGGGATTTTACTTTGGGTTCGATTCAGCTAATTATAAAGGTTTATAATGGTTCAAATAAAATGTGGGATAATTGCATCTCCCCCCCCCCCCTTAAGAATGATCAATTTCTAAACATCTGCCTTATGTTTTACATAATTTATAAATTTCACAATTCATGAATATTTGGTTTATTCAATTTGTTTTATACGCATGTTATCAATCCGCTAATTATATCATTAAATTTGTTATAAATTGCTTTCTTTAGGTTTTAGTAATGTATAAATATCAGAGTTGTTAAAGGATCTAGATACTTAAAAATGTGGTATCTGTATCTAGATAGATTTTTTATTAAAATATCTGTATCTAGATATTATTTTAGACGATGTATCTGTATCTAGATCCATTTAAAAAGTATCTTTTAACAACTCTGATAAATATATATGACTAAGCAAAAAAGAGATAATAATAATAGGTGATTGATCTAATGTTGTTAAACGGGTCGATATGAGAGGATTTTTTAAAAGCTGCTAACTCAGTAATTTATCCAGAGAAATATTATGCAAGATTGAAGATTTTGATCATAGATGGCACAAAGGTTTGGATTCGTGAAATCTCAACTCAAGACTTAGGCAAAATTTTTCCGACTAAAATATTGAGCAAGCCATTTTTAAAAATGGGCTAAAATTGATAGATTTAAGAACCACTAATTGATATCTTTAAACGATATTTTTTTACATGAACATATGTACGTGAAAAAATTTGGCGCGAATATTAAATAAATATGTAATACCACAAGGAAAGGAAAAAATATTTTTTTTATTTCAAGAATAAACTGGTTTAACCTCATTTATAAAGGTTCTTTTTTACTCCTTCAAGAAATATTTATATCGGTTCATTTTAGCAGATAATCTATAAAGGGTCTCATAACGGTTTAGTGGTTCGCGCCGGGTCCCTGGTTTTAATCCAACCCTTTGAATATTCTCAGATATAGTCCATTTAATTTGGGGTCCCATCTTGCCTTTCGCTATATTATCTTCCACCTGGTTCTGGAGGATTAAAAAAAAATTAGGAGGAATGGATGTATATTTTTTTTTATCAAGGCTTTTTTCAATCCTAATTAGGGTTCGGAAATTTAAAACTGAGATCACAGACGAAACAGTGACTAATTTAAGGCCGGCCCATCGAATACGGGGTAATATGGACTAGTACCGATACGAAAATTTCGGCTAAACAAGTATAAAATTCGTCAACTCTTATTTTTAATCATTTTTACGTTATATAAATAAAATATATAATTAAATTAAATATATCAAAAATCAACAACATCCGATTCAAACTAGGGAGGAGGAATTTAAAAGCATTGTTTCGAATAGCATTTTTTTTTATGAAAAAAAGGGGTCTAGGCCCATTTTTAAAGGATAAAACAATTTCCTTATTAAATTCATGAATCAGATAGGAATATTATAACAATAGTTCTAATTTTTTTTTTGCCATAACATATGGTGTTGGTTGAAACATCTGATATTTAATATATAAAAAAAAATCATCCAGTTTAAATTCATAAATATTTTTACATGGATTATGTTGAGATATAGAAGAAAGATTATCTTATGTTCATTATTAGAGGAATACATTTATTTTATTTTACCAAATTTTTTTTATATATTAAAATGATGTATTTATAATCATATAAAATCTTGTATTTTAACATTAACACTATCTACAAAAAAAAAGGAGGAGATCTACTCGCCCGATCGGGAATTTGGTCTTTATATCCGGTATCCGGATCAATCAGCTGATTTACTTTCTATTTTAAAAAAAAAAATAGTTTTTTAAATTTAAAAAGTTGCAAATTGTTAAAATATTCGTATATCATATTTTTCAATTTCCGATCGAGGCAACATACAGCCAAATTATTTTAAAATAAAATAAAAATTTTTTTAACAATTTTGGCTATCAAAATATTTAAAATTTTAAAATGATTAGATTGAAGCTGGGCTTTAAAATTGGACCTATAAAAAAATCGATATATAATAAATTTTTTGACCAGATAAGACTAGTGACGATAGGGGTTAACTGGCCACCTCTCGTCCTCCCAACTTCTAGTCAATTGGATTATTTTAATTTTATCTTCAAAATTTTTCCAAATCGAATGCTTATCATTTAAAAAATATGTTTTTTTTTAAAAAAAAACGATTTTACTATCTTGTTGATCAAAAATATTTTTCTATTAACCATTCAAATTTACAATATTTAATATAGATAGAATCCTTAAAGTTTATTTTATAATATAAAAAATATCAGAACATATCCAGAAAGATAATTTTTAATAACTGGCCAGGAGTTAAGTGGCCCTAATAATCCATGATGCACTTATTTTAAGAATATAAAGAACTTATTATTTTTGTATGAAGTATTTCTAAGTTTAGAAAATGTAAAATGTGGCCACGTCACTAAATGAAATATCCATATAAAGCGTTTAAACCGCAAGTATCGAACCAATATAAAAAGCTAATAAACTTCCATAGAATAGATCTCTAATTACTTTTTAAAATTATAAAATTACCATTTTAGGGATTCCTCTCTGACTAACATCTTCACGGATAACTTCCGGTTTATCTTGAGCATTTTTGTTAACCGAACCCTCTTCGGAAAGCATTTAGATATATTTCACCTTTAATTCTCCTCTTCTTTCTTTTTTAAAGATAAATATTTTTTAAAATGTATTTATGGGCCAAGAAAATTTATAGCTCAATATGATGGGCAGGGTGAAAGACATTTAGCTCATCCTAAATTGAACTTAATTCCAGTTCGTGCTATAAAACGTTTGTCATACTAAGTAACGATATGGTTGTAGCATTTATATAATTATATAATAGAGAAGATAAGAAAGAAAGAAAAAAAGAAAGAAAAAAAAGAAAGAAAGAAAGAAAGAAAGAAAGAAAGAAAGAAAGAAAGAAAGAAAGAAAGAAAGAAAGAAAGAAAGAAAGAAAGAAAGAAAGAAAGAAAGAAAGAAAGAAAGAAAGAAAGAAAGAAAGAAAGAAAGAAAGAAAGAAAGAAAGAAAGAAAGAAAGAAAGAAAGAAAGAAAGAAAGAAAGAAAGAAAGAAAGAAAGAAAGGATAAAGTTATACGTAATAACAGAGGTGGTCCCTATATAACCGGGAACAAATTAGAAGCGAAATAGTTACTTTAGATTCCGTATAATGTTTCAATTTAGAAGTTCTTAACCTAGGTCGGGCAAAAACAACTTTCGGGTAGAGTCGGATAACTTCTGCCAAAACATATTTATGGGCCCGGGTGGGAAGAATATTGTTGTTTATCAAATTTTTAAAATATAATTTCCGATTTGGAAGATAAAAAAAAAATAACTCTAGTGATCTACATCATTCTCCACGAGAAAATATGGTCGTAAATATAATTCCTACTAATACACAAATTTTAGGTGTTATTTATTTAAGCTGCATTTATGTCAAGCGCGATCTTTCTAAAGCGATGCGATTCGCTACGTGGTGAATATAATCTAAGCCAATAATAAATATAATTTATAAATGCCGATCATGATGAAATCGCGACAGCTGTTTACTCATGTGATAAATCAGCTGAGATTTTATTAGCGATTACCTTTGTCGGTTGAGCGAATCGCGTTTACTATAAATGATAAATGCCAATAATGATGAAATCGCGACAGCTGTTTACTCATGTGATAAATCAGCTGTGATTTGGTTGGGCGATTACCTTCGCATCGGTTGAGCGAATCTCGTTTACTATAAATGCAGCTTAAAGCCATGAAAAAAAATAATTATCATTTTTAAAAAAAGTTAGTAAAATTACCATCTCATATATTTTTCACCGAATTTTTAACCGTAAAAAATAGAATTGAATATCCCATTTGATCGGGAATAATCTTGGGAAAATATATAATATTTCAAATGATAAAAAAAATAAATAACGATAATTTATAGAATGATCTTCGAAAATATATTGTATTACAAATTGATAGAAAATAAATAACGACAATTGTTTAACCTTCAATAATAATCTCAATAATCTTAAATTTTTTTTAAATCCTTAGAACTGTATAATAACTGTGGTAGAGAAATACCACAAAGATTTTTAAATTATTACCTGTATAAATATAACCTGTTTTTTTTTATTGAAGCATAGTTTCTATTTTATGCTTAAACTATGTTTTTTTTGCGAAAATTTTCTTATAAATTAATTTAAAAAAATATTTTTAAAGGATATAAAACATTTATTTTTAAAAGGCAGAAAGCAGAAACGATAATATTTAATTCTTGAAAATTATTTTTTAAAAAATATGTTTTTATTTTTGAAATCAAAAGTTTATTATACTTATTTTAAATTATCAATTTCTTAATTATTTGAATTAATTAGATTTTGTATATTAAAAAAATATGAATTATATTATTTAAAAGGAGATCTGTAGGCCCAGCCCTAAGCCAGGCCTGGGTACTTGCGACGGGCCGAATATTTGAAAACCAAATATTTTAAATAGTCATTATTATAACTACAAAAATTAAAAATAAATATAACATATTTTTAAAAAATGGCTTGAAAAATATAATACCCGGACCGGGCGAAATTTTTTTTTAAAAATTCGAATTGCAAATGGTACCACTGTAGGTCTCTAAGTATCGGAAATATAAAAGCTTAATATAGAAATTGAATGAGATATACCTAAACATTGGGCCTTATTTTCCTACAACTTATCAGATGATTATTCATATATTCAGAATTCTTAAACAAAATAGTTAAGCTATTTAAAAACCTTGTTGCATTTTTTTAAAACTTTTAAAAAGACCCTTTTAAAGGTCAAATAAGCATTGACAGAGCTATCTAAGTCAATTACCCGAATTTTTCATCTTTCCTTGATATTTGATGTATTGTATAAATGAGTTTCTTAGGATTTAAAGATTTGTTTTTTTTTAAAAAAAATGATCTCTTTGTGATATTACGATTTTGTAGTGATGTTAAATTACATAACTTTGACCAAAATCCAATATGGCATGGTCAAGACTATCCCCTAAAAAATTGACTTAAACATCTAAGTTTAACCGCAACTTAATGAATGAGACTATTTTTTTTAGACTTAAAACTTGGCTAAGATCTTTTTAGAGCTGGCCATAGTTAGATGGTTTAACAACACTACTATGGATAGTTTAAACTCGTAACGAACGCTAATCTTTTCAAATGATTACTTAGGGTGGATCAAAGTGGGGGAGAGGGACAGAATAATCATCCACATTTTTACCAACCCCCCCCATCCGACCCTATTTCCTCTCAAGACTCTCTCCAAAAAAATGAATAAATTAATTATAACATATTAGATAAATTTACTCTCAAAAATTAATGAAATAATTTTTCAAAATTTATTTTTTTTATTATCATTATTTATTTTTGTTAAAAAATGACTTAATTAAAATTGAAATTTTTAGAAAGAAAAAAAAATTTTTAAAAAGGAAATTTCTTTTTATTCCAAGAAATAAAAATGTAACCCAGTCAAAGCAACGACATCAATGTTAACCTAAACTGACAGGTACGTCATTGAAATTCAACCACTGAAAGGCATTTTGACGTTATATGAATGGCATTCATTGGCATCTACCAAGAGTCGAAGAAATTGATAACAGCTGAATTCAATGCATGTACACTCTTAATATATGAATCGTAGTCCTAGTTTGTAATTAATGTCATTGGGTCGCAGATGCCTACAAAAGAGTAGACCTAAAACCCTACAATGAGATTTGTTGGGTTGAGGGGAAAGGTCCTATAAAAATATTAGCGATAATAATCAAATATTTATACATAACTTTTTTTTTATTCGCACATATTTTTCCTCTTGTCAAACAAAGAGTTATTTCAAAATACAAAGTTACCCCCTCTTAAACAGGGCTAATTTAGATTGAAACAAAAAAATATATCTGAAAAATGGACAATGTGAAAATCGGCTATTTGTTTGTGATTATGGCATGGAATTCAAATTATTGTGATCAATTATTTTTAACATTAATTGTTTGAAAATTGTATATCAAGTTGATGATGATATAAACTTTTCAAATATTACGATTTTAAAAAAAACTTAAAATTATTTTTTTAAAAAAATTTGTAAGATAGTTAAAATATTTTGCATTTAAACATATCATCATAGTCATTTATCGACCTAACCCTTTTATATCTTCACTCCGAATCAGTAAGTTCATTTAAATGATTCTATGATCCCTCATAGTTGGACGATTAAATTTTAGATTCTTTTAATATAACTTAGACATTTCATGGTGTTATTTTTCCAAAATTGATTGTCAAATTTTTTTTGTTTTTGTAAAATATATCAAATCAGCAGGTAGAGGAGACTGGGGCTAGTTAAACCGATTTTTGCAAGAGCGGCTAAAACTCCTGTGTTTTATTTTAGATATTATAAAGATCAATATATAAATAGATATTCTATAACTATATTCTATAAAGGTGCCTTATAAATATTTTTAAGAATTTAATCATATTTTTTTAAATTATTTTTTTGTAAAAATTGAAATTTTATTCAACACGCCCCAATAACGGGGTTAGGTTAACCACTGTTAGGGATTTCCTAGATCATTTGTTTTTTTAGACTATAATGAATGGAAATGCATTTTTATTTATTAATAATGATACGCTATGAATAAATTAATTATTACTTTTTAAATTGAAGCTAATTATATATAAAAATGTAACTTAATTTTGGTTAATTTAATAAACATTTTTGATATATAAAAATTAGGATCTTAAGGAGAGAATATGATTTCTTAGAATTAATACTAAATACCAATCATACACAACCATGAAAATTTTCTTTTCAAAATTTTGAAATATTTTTCCAGATTAACTGCTATAATTAACATGTATGGTTTAGCAAGCCCTATGCTAGTTCCAAATTGACTAATCATGATGGAAATTATATCTCGACAAAATAAATACTCATAAAACTTTCTCAAAATATAAATTAAAACTTTGCTATAAAATGGAATTTATATATATATGATTAAATAACTTACTAAAAAATTAAAATTCTGTCATGTAAAAATCAATTTTTCGAATTTTACATCAAAATTTTAATTCTTAAATAAAATTTTTAATAATTAATTATTTCAAAAGATTTTTTGTCAATAGATGCATACTGATAAAAGCTATATTAGGATTAAATTTAAATTTCCGGGGTTTACCTAGCCCCAGTCTCCACTACACTTTCAAAAAATGAACCGAGAAAATAACCTAAACCCAATACGAAATTTGACAATTATTACGTGAAAATACTAGGTATACATATGTCGTAATTGGAATCCGTGGGGATTCGGAATCTCTTGATTTTAAATCCTCTACCGAGAGCGATTTAAAAAAATTTAAAGTTCGATTTAACCGGAAATGTATTCTAGCATGGTTAGAGTACCCAAACTGTAAATTTCAAACAATTTTGCCACGAACTTTAGAACCAACTACTTCTAATTTTTATTAATTTTTATATGGATTTTTTATATAAATTAAAAATTACTTAAATTTCTATCGCTGAAATTGGCTGAAATTTATAAGATAAATACCTTACACATGCTGGAATACAATTCATCAGATTTTCAAAATCCAAAAATCGCCCTTAGTAAATGATTTAAAATTGAGAGATTCCGAATCCCAACGAATTCCGAAACCCCATACGACATATATATGAGTATTTAAAAAAATATATAATTTTTTGAAACTTGGTCTGTAAGTGTTTTAGGGAAAAACAGTTAATAATCTAGAGTTTTGCTTTATTTGGAAACTTCTTGAGATGAAAAAATGATAGGGCTAAAAAATTTATTCAAAATAACCAAAAATTTATATTTTTCATATTTAAATAAATATTAAAGTGGAAATAAATTATGTAATTTATCACTTTATATTTCGGTTAAGAATAAAAAAAATATTGAATTTAGGAATTCGCGGAAAAATTTTATAAGGGCAGAATGATGATTATTTTAAACATGTGTTGGATTCATTTTAAAAAAAAACATACAATGTGAAATTTATAGAAATTATTATGGTGTTTTTTATTTCTCTGGTGTATCAAGCAAGTGTTGTTAAAAGGCTCGATTTAAACCGACTTTTAAAAACGGCTAACCCAATATTATATCCAGAAAAAGATTACGCAAGCCTGAAGATTTTGTTCTTAGAAGAAAGAAAGGTCTAGAGACATATATTATCGAAATCTCGAGGCTTAGAACCATATTTTTCTGACTAAATTATTGAGTTAGCCATTTTTGAAAAAATCGGCTCAAAACGAGCCGCTTAGCAACATTAGATGTATCCAAAATTTTATTATGGGAGATGGGGGAGGGGGTTGCTTTAAAATAGATTTTTCCGCAAAAATTATAGAGTTTCATCTTTGAAAGTTAGACCGGATTACAATTTTTTTTAAAGCTAGTTTTCTTAAATATTCCTTATATAGGGTTTTAGAGTTCCATCTAGATTAGTTATTTTTCACGCATAAAAAATAAAAAAAAATTTTCCCCCTACATTTAAGTTTGTATGATTTGCGATAAGCATTTTTTTATCTTGTAAATTTTCTAATTTGTCTATATTTAAATATGATGATTATTTAAATATAAAGCCCAAAAAAATTACTGATTTTTATGCTTGCACATTTTAAATGAATTTATAGAAAAAAGCTATAAGGTAAAATCTGCAGCATAGAAATATTGTGATATCATATCGCTATTTTGAAAATACACGATAACGAAACCTCAAAATATAATCCATATAGCAGTGAGAAAGTTTTTTAATTTGAAAAATAATTAATTCCCTTTTTTCAAAAAAAAAGATATTATATGGTTGAATTATTTTTGGGGAGAAAGGTAGTGACGGGAGGGAGTGTTGGGGGAATTATTAGCCTAAAATTATATTTTAAGAAAACTAATGTATTTATTTAATGATAACTTAATTTCCCTCTTCCCCCATCCATTTTGTTGATACCAATGGTTTTAGATATATATAGTTCTCCGAATGATAAATTCGAAAAAGCCATATTAAATGTGCAATATCGGGAAATTTAATACATAAAAATAATCCTTTCTTGTTCAACTTTGGTAAATAGTGTTTTAAACGCTTCGAATTAAACTACTCTTAACTAGCGGCTGAATCATGATTTTAGCAAAAATAATATTATCTAAGCCTCGAGATTTCGCTGATAGATATGCAAACTTTTCTGCCAATTACGATAAAAATATTCAAGTTTGCGTATTTTTTTGGATAAACATCTCGAGCTAATATGTTTTTAAAAATCGGTTAGATAGAGTAGTTTAACTAATACTACACATGGGTGTGAAATGGATGGTGTTGACATTTTTAGAAATATATTTTTTTCTTCTTTGTGTTTTTTTTTTAAATGCGATATCATCCCTTTGAGTTACACTAGCCTAGGGGACCCTTATAGAAAGGTGAGGGGATGACATTTTTAAAAGTATTCCTAAATGCTATCTATGTTTTACCTATACCTGGTCTCCTTCTCCTTCTAGCTTATAATTTTTTTTTGCCTACCAATTTATTTTCTTTAAAATTACAAGTTAGTATTATATAATGATGCTTAATTTTAATTGATATTTTAACTCAAGTATCCTATTATTGTTTTTAATAAATTAAATTGATAATGATAACTATAAAACGATTTATTTTGTATTTAATTTTAATATGCAACAAAAAACAAGGTATTTAAGATGGTTACAAAATATTTTAAGAATATAAAATATAAAGTGATTTTAAAAAATGCTTTCATCAAAATAAGGGGTGATAAAAAAAAATGAAAAATTTCGTTTTTTAAAGAGAAAAATAAATCAGTTATTAAAACAATATTTTAACCAAATTTTTAAGGCTATCGAAAAATTTATTTTGTTTTGAAAATATAAGATTAATGAAGGGATTTATAAAAATAATTGTGATAAATGAACAATTGAAACACATTATTGGTAGATTATTTTGATTTGCATGTAATCATCGTTGAAGAAAATTTCTAAGGGTTTGTAGCCTTCTTGAGTTTCAGCATATACAATGGGTTTTTGATTTGCGTATCATCATCGATAAAATAAAATTTCTAGAGGTAGTTGTAGCCTTCTTGAATGGTCGTATACATCACTCTGGAAGATTCATATACTTATATTAAATAAATTATTGAAATATTACGATAAAGAATAACAAATAATCAATTAGATTTTTAGATATGTATGGAAAATTGATCTGAATCCGTTGATTCAATTCATAACAGAAAAACTAAACCTTAGATATAAACTTTATTATTTAAAAAAAATTATCTATCTATACTTCTAAAGGCCATTTTTATTCGTAGTTTTTTTATAAGGAGGTATCTTGGTATTCCACATGATTAATTACTAACTTACGTTTTTCAATGTGATTTATAAACACACTTTCTATCATTGACAGTGGATTGATATAATAACGTAGAAGGCCCTTTCATTTACAGCTAATAGTTCCATCTAAGGCTTGTTCATCGTTTTAGATATATGTTTCAAATATTGTTATTCCCTTTATAATAATTGATCCCGATATTCAAAATGCTGAAATTATAAATAAAATTTACTAGAAAGTTTTCGTTTTAAAAAATCACATTGGAAATCGCAATTTAGGAACTTAAAAACTAGAAATCCAGGATATTTCCTAATGTAAAAAAAAAACTAGGAATGAAACTGGCATTTAGAAATATGTATAAATAATTTTTTTTATAGCATTTTTTTCTCTAAAATTTTTATAATGTATATTACCTGTTATTATAGCATTTTACATAACCTGTTTACTATTCCTTCGAATGGATGATAGCAATCATGTAAAAGAAGGATCCCATAATCACACTGCTGGGCGCTGCTGCATCGGGATCCTGAGTAAATCAACTTTAATTACAAATATGAATTTTTCCCAAGTTCGTATAATACCGTATTGGAGAAATATCGGGGTAGATTGTGTCTCCAATCCTAAAAATATTGATATACATAACTATTAGAATAGATAATCTATATAATGTAACTTCTCCTGCTTTCCTCATTAAGAAAATTTTTACAAAATCCAATATCTAAGCAAGTTTTGAATATGTAATTTTTAAATTATAAATATATTTTTAAAGTTAAATATTAAATTATTATATATCTAAATTTAAATATTTGTTTTTTTTAAAAAATTAAAAAAAATTTTGTAATTTGTTAAGCAATTGCGCTGCATTTATATATAGATTTATAAAAAATTTTTTAGTCTACTTAGAATTGTGAAAAAAAATAAAGGATTCTAATAAAATAATAATATTGTTTATTTAAATAAATTATGCTTTTCTTAAAATAAGTAATTTGCGAGTTTTCAACCTTCTCTTTCAAAAAAAAAGAAATTCTATTAAATAACACACTTGAATAAAATAAAAAAATACACTTTTATTGTTTTTTTTTTATAATAATCTAAACTTCCTCTTGTTTTGTTTATGAATTAACGATTTCTCCATTTTCAATATTAAATTAATTATAAAGAATGAGAATTTCAAAATAGGATTAAAATCTCCTTGTTATAATATCAATTTATTAAAATGGATGTTTTTGGTTTTACCACTCATAAACAATTTTTTCTTTAAACGTTTAATTGCAAATAAAACGACGTGACAATGATATACTCAATAGCTTTGAATGGTTTTACTTAATAAATATAACGCCATCCTATTATAAATTATTTATAATATATTACCGGGAAAAATACGGATATTTTTTAAGGATACAACTTCAGTTTTTAATTTTTGAGCATATAAAATCCCTAAATTTGAAACTTTTAACGCGAAAAATTTTATCGTGAAAAGTTTTTATAGCGAATGGATTTTATAGCCAATACGTTGATTTTATAGCCAATACGTTACAACGAAACTTTTATCGCGAATGCAATATAGCGTAAACTATTTCGCGATAACTTTTATTTTAAAGCATTCTTTGCCCAGAATATTTTATCGAGCAATAAATATCAAACATAACGTAAGAATTCAATCTTAGCCCATCGGGCTTAGGCTGGGTATTTCCTAAGAAATAGTTTTGGTTCGGGCTAGATAGGGCTTAAAATATTTAATATTTTTATAATTGTAAAATAAATTCGTGCTGGGCGAAAAATGCATCCAAAATTGAGCGTTTCAAACGCTTGCAAGAAAAATAATGTATATTTTAAATGGGCTTGTGGCAAATTGGTAAAATTACAGTTTGAACGTTAGCAAAACCATTTTTTTTTAAAAAAAACTCTTTTTCAATACTTTTGTTTATTCTTAGTTTTGTAATAATTATATAAAAATTGTAATATAAATAACTTACTTATATCCTAAAAAAAGGGGGAATATTTAGAAATTAACAGAAATAAGTAGGCAGACGAAAAGTAATATTTAGAAATTAAAAGAAATAAGAAAGCAGACGAAAAGGAATATTTAGAAAGTAAAAGAAATAAGAAGACAGATGATAATATGATTTTCAAATACGACTTCTTTTTTTTTTAAGAAACTTATTCAAAATTTTTAATCAGTCGGATCTATATAAAAAAGATAACCCCAATTTAAACAACGGACACATTACGTTTTTCGAACGCTCAATTTGGGCGCCGAAAACAAATATTTCGTTTGGAATTGGAGCGGGTAAGAATAATTTTTATATAATATATTTGGAGGGGGGGGGGGGGGGGGTGTGAAAAATTAATCCCGGTGAAGATCGCTAATGTGCACTACATATTTATTTTATTATTTAATATTACGAAAATTAGGGATCAGACAGAATTTATAACCGATTCAAATAAGATTTTTTTTTTCCCAAAGTGGCAGGGGTCTATTTTTTTTTTAATATATAATTTTTTTCAAAGTTTTTTGGGGTTTTATTGCATATATTTTGGATATTGATTTTTTAAAAAAAAATATACAAGTTTTTCAGATAAATTCTCGATATCTAAGTAAACGGCTCACTTGGGCATTAACATGTGATATGGTTAGCAAAAAATAATTAAGTGGTTTAAATTCCTATTTCGTTATTTCGATTTAAAAAATTTGGGATGAAAATGCAGAGCATAATTTTCGGTATATTAAAATAAGTGTTGTTTAAAAGGATCGATTTGAGCCGTTTTTTTTGAAAACGGCGAACTCGATATTATGGCCAGAAAAATATTGCCTAAGCCTAGAGATTTCGCTAGATGTCTAATCCAAAACCTTTGCGTCATCTATGAGCAAAATCTTTAGGGCTTGGAGTAAAATTTTTTCTGGATAAAACATTGGGTTAGCCGCTTTTAAAAATCGGCTAGTATAATAATATCATGAATGGGATCTGTTGATTTATCTATTGATCAAAAATTATAAACTTTTGTGCTGGACAATGCTCATATGGCATTATACGATCCATTTTAAAAGTTAAATCAGTAATTGGGAAATTATTTAAAAAAGTGTGTAATTTCTAGAAAGGCAGATTCATATTTAAGCTATAAACTTATCACAAATAACTTTCCTTTTAGCTAAGACAGGAACACGGTAAATTTTAAATAATTTGGTGAAAGCAAAAAAAAATACTAGAAGAAACATGATATAAAATGTATATAAAAAAAATGAATATATATATTAAATATAAAAATATACAACCACGGCACCAAATTTAAAATATCTATTCGAGTCAAATAATTATTCGCATCAACATTATTACCATGTTAACCGATTTACTTAGGTCTACCCCCAAACTATCGATGAAGGTAAAAAGTTTCTAATCTTCACTTAAACCCGCAACTACATGTTCTTTAGAAGATGCCAAGTAATATATCGATTATCTAGGATAAAAATTTTAAAAAAGCAAAATGGACACAGTAATTGCAAGTTTAGTTTTTTTTAAGATTAGAAAGTAAAGGCGGTTCCCTATAATTCTTCATAAAAAACAAGTCACTTTTAACCTTTTCTCTCCCCCTCTTTGCATTTATCTATTATAGATATTTTATTTTAACTTCTCTAGGCCTATTATACCTCCTCAGTTTTCTTTAATCTAAAAGCCTTCTTCCCAAATCATTTTTCTTTTCTTTTTTTGCAGTAAAGGTTATAGATTTGCATTGAATGCAATCAATCGGCAGACGCGTATGGGAGACATGCTCTCCGCTGTAAATTTATATCAAAAATCAGCCGACATGATAAAATAAATGCAATAATAGCATCTTTTTTAAATAAAGCCAATTTTCCCTGTATTTTGGAACCTACATCCTTTTTAGATAAAAAAACGCCCTGACGGCAAAACCGTCGTACCTTTTTCCATGGGAAAGCCTTTAATGTGGGATTTTACCTGCATTGATCCCATGGCTCCATCCAATAATTCCCATGATCCCCTTAACAGAGCCGAATCTCTAAAAAATATAAAATACTCACACCTTATGTGTGATAACCACTTTGTTCCTATAGCAGCTACATCAACCTACTCCTTTGGACAAACGGATTTAGATCTATTCAAAAATATCCAAATCAATAAAAAAAATCATACCTTTCTCCATTTTACAAACTCAAGCAGAAAATCGACGTATCTATAATTAGATCTAATTATCAAATATTTAAAACATCATGGCCCGACCTCGCCATTTGTATCAATCTTCTTTTTTTTTAACTTAAACTGTTATATGACATATTTTATTATATTCTCTATATTTTTTATATAATAATATTTTATCATATTTGTATATGAATTTTAATAAAAAATTGAATTTTTATAATAATAATAATTAAAGAAAAATGGATTTGTCATTAGTTTTTTAAATAAATCTAAAAATTAAACAATTTTGTTGTCCAAATATAATGCCAGTTATCGCCAGTTGGGCATGATGTTTTAATTATAATTCATCTCATGTAAAATTTAATCGAGGGGAAGATAGAGTCGAAACTTATAATGTTCAAGCAGCGATCTATATTTCACCAATCGATTTGCTAAAAATATATACTAATTTTTTTTAATAAATTGGTCTCATAGAACTTTGATAATTAACAAGTCATTTAATATTATAAAAAGTTTAAGCAGTGATGTAAAACTATGAGGACTTGATTTCGGGCCAAAATGTTTGCCACCATTATATTTGCATTTTGTAATGATATATATATTTTTTCAATATCATTTTTATTTTATTTAAACCTTTCGTTATAACATGTCGTTCTAGTAAAAGGCCGAATTTTTAGACCTAATTTATGTGTTTCGATCATAGCAAGAGCTTTGAGATCAGCTAAAATTCTATCTCAAATCTCTACTATGTCTTTTTAAATCTGATGGAAAACATCTAGGTGGGATATCTCAAATTCCTTAGAAAGAATTGTCTGAAATCACTCGTGCATTCATCTATTGGCTCTCTATGATTAAACTCCTATCCTTGAAGAAAAGGGGTATTTAAAAATAGCAAAATGAGCAGAGTTTGGCAATGACACATATTCATTCCTATAATTTCCTGGAAATAGTTCTTTAAACTTTTTTAATAAGCTTGGCTTTCACATTCGTAAACTTAAGGGTGAGTGAAGGCTTCTTCTTGGAGAAAAAGTAGCCATTGCCATTCACAAGGCTAATTACATTAACTTTGGTAGCGCATCATCATACAAGGATGATTATTTTTAATAATAATATATCAAATTTAATACTTTTCATGAATTATAACTTATTATAAGCAATTTTAAATATTTTTCAATTTATATTCTATTTTTTCAATTTATTTGATGAATATGGTTTTAAAATTTGACCAATAAAGCTGAAAAACAATAATTGATATTAATTAAAAATTTAAAATAGAAGAAGAAGAAGAAAAAAACTTAAATGGAAGTATTTTTCCAATCGTTTTCCAAGAAAAAAAGATGTTCCCATTATTTTGCTTCTAATCATTCTTAAAATCTAAAACTAAAGATAAGATGTTATTCGCATCGTTCACCATATGTTTAGTGCGTGACGCGCATAGAAAAAGGAGTCAGGCATAGAAGCCATATTGCGATCTATACGTTGCTAAATGATATTGTACTCCTTCATTTTATTCAATTTTTTTATAGTAATAATTTAATTATAAAAAATTATAGTATTTAACGATTAATATCATAATACGGACCATAAAATGGCATCTACATCTGGTTACTTATTTTTAATAAATGTTTTGTAAATTTTTAGGACATAGCTTTTCCAAAAAAAATATTATTTCCATTTTTAATGACAGACTTTCAGCAAAATAAATGATTGAAAAATGACAAATAAAACCATATGATGAACACTCCCCATAGCTCTTAGAACTGATGCTGTTGAACCGCTAGATTTGAGCCATGCAGAAAAAAAAAATTTACGCAAAATGGAGTCGTTTAACAACGCTACTTAAAACAAGAACCTGAAACGGAATATGGGTAAACGCGTAGAAATAAAACTGCACCTAGTGTAATGTTATAAGTAGAATGCGCTTTTCGTTTATTCAAAGATAGTGTCCATGATAGTTTCGTTCATCAAGATGGGATTAGATTCCCTCGATGATTTTCTACGTATATTTTTTTTTCTTCTGGGAGCCTATAGATTAATAATTTCCCTGCCCAAAATTCATACTAAATATTATTAAATTTTTTTCAAGGAACACTGTTTTTCTTGATGATGATATAATTATTCAAATATTTATTTTTAAGTAAATATTAATAAAATTATTAGCTGTTTATAATAATGCTTACTATAATATTTGTAAATCTATAATAATAATATTAATTTGGATTTTTTTTAAACATTGCAAACTGTACCATCATTTTTTATTTCATTCTGGCATCGATTAATACATTCCTCTTTACTCCAAAAATTGTTGGCATTTCCACCACATCCACCATAGATAAATTCTTTGCAACTTTTACTATCTGAGTCGTAATAGTAGTTTAAAAAATAAGCTCTGCAATTTCCAGTCTCTGCTGCCAAATAACAATAACCTTTTCGGAACATGAATAAATTATTATTTCAATATAATATCTTTAAAGTGTCTCTTTTTCCTTTTTTTTCTTTAATAGTATATACTTAAACTTATTAATTTGATATTTCCTCAATTCTAAAATTATCTTAATGTTTTTAAAGTAAAGTCTATTATAAAAACGAATTATGAAACAAGTCTATTCTGCATCATATTACGTATTATATTTTACCTTTTATCTGATGCTGTATATATTGAAATATAATTTTAAAATGATATAACATTTAAGGTTTAATTTTTATCTTGATATTTTAAAATTTTAAAAGCGATACCTTATAAAAATTAAAATATTTATACTAGGTCTATGCATGGGTTGGGTTGCGGTAGATCTTGCTAAGATAATAAAACAAATAAAAATACAAATAATTATAAAATGATAATTTCTAGTTTTTTTGATTGTTTTTTATTTTCCTCTCTCATTTGATCTATTATCTAACAATTATTTTGTCTTGTCTCTATTCACATATTATATTTCACCTTTTATTTGATATACTGTATGTGTATATATTGAAATATAATTTTAAAATGATATAGCATATAAGGTTTAATTTTCATCTTGATATTTTAAAACCTATAACTTTATAAAATCAAAATATTTATACTAGGTCTATGCTTGGGTTGGGTTACGGTAGATCTTGCTAAGAAAATAAAACAATAATTAAACAAATTATAAAATGATCATTTCTAGTTTTTTTTTAATTGTTTTTTATTTTTCAAAATACGAAAGGAGTATTCAACTCTTAAAAATATACTAATAAATCTAATAGGTTTATATAACTATGACAATCATTATGTCTTTGTTTCGGTAAACAAATTTTTTGTTTAAATAACTCAATTTAGTGTTTCCCCTATATATATGGATTTTTTTAAAAAACAGATCCCAATTAAGATTCTAGCCAAAATAATATTACAGTGAGAACAAATTGAGCGTTTCAAATGCTGCATTGCAAGTGTCAATAATGCCTTTCAAAGCCTCGTGCGAAATGGTAAAAATACCGTATAGCGTTAGCAACCATTTTTTAAAAAAAAAACGCATTACAGGTTTGCTTTTACATTCTTCGCTTTGATATTATATAAAATGTAATATAAATAACTTTACTTATATATCCTAAAAAGGGAATAATATTTAAGAAATTAAAGAAATAAGAACGCAGACGATAATATAATTTTAAAAGACAAATCCTTTTTTTTTGTTAGAACTTATCTAAAATTTTGAATCGACGAAAATTAATAAAAAAAAAGACAACCTCAACAAGGGACGCGTTACGTTTTTTTTTAATTTAAAAATTACGGCAAAATGTAAACGCTCAATTTGTGCGCACTTTTATGTAATCCTGGAGATTTTACTCATAAGTGGCTAAAAAGGTCTGGACCGCCATTCGCCAAATTTCGAGGCTTATATAATATTATTTTGGGCTAAAATCTTAATCGGGCAGTTTTTTAAAAATCTGGCGGTTCGTAATACCAACTCTATTTTAAAAAATATATATATTATAAGAAAGGTATTTTATTTTTTTCACTCACCATCGAACCTGCTTTGAGTCAGAGCCACACCCAACAAACAGAAGATTAGGAAAATTATATTCATTTTAAAATAAACTTCAAGGCTCAAATTATATTTGGATTAAATTAAGAATTAGATTTTGTGCAAATAAAAATTAAATTTTTAATTAACTTATCCTGGTTATTTTATATATATATATAAAAATTATTTTATTACCTCCTCCGACTTTTTTTAAATCTATATCTTTTTCCTGTTTAAAATTTTCAAGCAAATTTTATTTATAATAGACGTAATAAATTTTCGAAAAATTAAAATTTAATTCCACTTTTTTATTAAAAGAGAAATGATAAGAATTTTTGTTAAAAATTACCTATTAAGCTATATCCATTTTACAACACACAATTTTTTTAAAAGGCCAATAAAAAAAGGGATATTAAAATGAAGTCTTTTTATGATAGTTCCAGAGATTATAAGAGAATATAATATTTTTTAAAAAATTTATAATAATCTAAAATACAATTTCGCGTTATATTATGAGTAAGTGTCGTGAATGGCGGAACTGCTTTTATTTTTATAGCTTTAGCAAGTGCTAGCTAATTTTATTTTAATAGCTTTAGCGGTCGCGTTATCTTATTTTTTTGAAAATTTAAATATATGAAATTATTTCATAAATTTATCATAAATTTTGAAATGACAAATAATACCGAAATTTCATTATACGCTTATTTTAAACTGTCGTTTTTTTTGTATTATAAATCAAAATCGACAATATAATCGAAAATTATTTACCTCTATAATTCCCCTAGGGAAATTACTGTAATGCAATAGATTATTTAATAAAATTTTATTCGATTCGTAGATAGAACAATATAAAATTTTAATATGGTGATAGTTTGATGGGTGTTGTTTAATTTTCTCGTTAATTTTTAGTCTTCGAGGTTGAGTATTGTAATAGTATGGAGCGAATACCACCGGTTATCGTGGTATAGTGGTTTAGTATGCCTAGTACTTCCAGTGTGATGTTCTTCTCAACGCCCATTGTTTGCAATGAATGCTTGTAAAGAATCTGCTGACAAAAACGGAACCGACTTGTTTTCTCCTAAATATGTGATCTTTTCTACAGGAATTATCACCGATTTGGTGTCATTCACTACCAATTCTCATGCTCAGCCTTGTCCAGAAAGGCTATGGTATCTCTGAATACTAAGCTATATGCCCGTATTTAGTCTGGGTTACGGTGAAAGATCATTTACATCAGCACGGGCAATGGACCTACAACGAACTTGTAGATTAAGGATTTAGGCTCCCATTTTGCTTGTTCCCAACCCCATGCTACAGATTTCGCGTAGATCTGTTTTTCGATGCGATATCTCTCACGAATTTGTATGATAAGTCGTTCTTAAGCTCTTCCACTGCAATCTTCGAGGGAAACTCATACACTTCTTCCTTTTAATTGATATCCAGGCGATCTTTCCGCTAGGCATATAGCCTTCATAAAGTGCTTAGCAATTTTAAAAAACATTGACTTGTTTGTTTCCGTCGTGACATTAAGAGTTTTCAGCTCTTTATCGGCCAAAAAAAATTCTCTGGAATCCGAAGTCTGATTGATAGTATGTGGAAGGGTTTTTCTATTGTCCTTTTGGCTATGACCACTAAAATTGCGGGGCTGGCTCGTGTTGGATGATAGCTTCAGTGTCTTTATCCGTAGCTAGCTTCTCCATTATTTGTTGCGTCTAGACAATGTAGTTTCCATTTTAGAGTTAAGATTTGTGACTCATCGTTGGTTTCTGTTTCTCTATTTTGTTTGCTTTGATAGCTTCCATGTCAACTTTCATAGCTTTGGCCGTAGCTTCCCGCATGGACCTAGTTTAGATAGTGGAGTCTAACGAATTTAAGATCTTTTAACAATTATTTTGCGTCGAATTATGGTTTAATATTTTTAAGCTTCTTTTATGGCCGGGGTGGCCTGGTGGGTTTATGTTGTATGCTTGGAAACAGAAGGTCCCAGATTCAATTTTGGTAAGAAAGGTAAATCAGTTTTTTTTTCGATGACTGATTTGTAAAGACATTAGATAGGATGAGTTTCTGAGCTGATAAATGCCATCCCGGTCACTGATAAGCTTGGACAGCCAGGTGCTAGGATACTTGTCCAATAAACCAATAATGAAAGATGGCCAGCTGACCTCGTGGACCCTTCAAAGATGATAGGGAACTCAATGGAAGCGATGAGAATACTCTGGTGGGATATCTGCCGATATTGTTACTTTGGTGTGAGGCTCCGATGGGATATCTCTCAATTTTGATACTTAGATGAAGATCCAAATGGAATCGATAAGAAACTCCGGTGGGGGATATCAGAATTAGATAAAAAGAGATAGAATTAGTATTAAAGTGGAGAAAGATATTGAAGGAGCTTACCACCAGAAAAAGGTGAAAGCTAAAAAGAAGAAAAAATATATTTAAGCTTCTTTTATTAAATTTCAGGAGGTAAGAAAGGCAAATAATTTTTATATCTGCCTTTATATAGACACGAGTTGATTGAAAATAATTAGAAATATAATTTTCGCTTTTTCAAAATAACGTTTATATAAAGATATTGTATTTCATTTTTCACGATGATGAAGCGTTAGCAAATAGTCCACTATGTTATTTGTGAGAACTATTGAACTTAAAACAAGAATTAAGAATTTGGCAATAAATAAACTAGAAATGTATGCATTAAATTTGTCACAAAAGCTAGATCTTCATAGCAGCTTTAAAAACATTATACATGAACTAAGTATGATATTAGTAAATCATTTATAGGTAAAAAGGAATTCCAACGTAAATGGGGAAAAGAATTTATGAGATTTGGAATTTGATTGAGGAAGTTTTTATAATAAAATATAGTAATAATTTTTTTTTTACGAGAGTGTTTTTTTTCCTATAAATGAAAACAGATTTTTTTAATCTTATTTAAAGCGCTACTAGAGTGATTATTATAATAAGTTAATTTTTTTTTAGACAAATGTCCAGTTATAAAAAATAGCAATTCTTTTGCTAAAAAGTTCTGTTTTGGTTTTTATAGGAATATCGGTAGTATGAATTGTTTCCATACTAGTATTATACGATCACAAATTTTCCAAAATGCTCTTCAATTATGGGTATGATTAATGAACAGAGTTGTTAAAGGATCTAGATACATATTAAAATGTGGTATCTGTATCTAGATAGATTTTTGATTAAAATATCTGTATCTAGATATTATTTTAGACGATGTATCTGTATCTAGATCCATTTAAAAAGTATCTTTTAACAACTCTGTTAATGAAACTGTTAAAAAAAATATTGATAAACTACTAGACTACCCTTTGGTGTTAAACTGTGCCGATTTTTTAAAAACTAGCTTAATATTTAAGTCAAGAAAAATATTGCCTATAAGCCTCGATATTTTGTTTAATAAGTATTCAAACCTTTGTGCTATCTAAAAGCAAAATCTTGAGCGTTTAGAAAAATCAGCTCAAAACGAGGCATTGACAACACTAACCCCCTCTTCCAAAGTAGCTTCCGGTCTCAATTCTAATAAATTATCCTTAAAAATTTACAAAGTCTTTTAATGTATAAAAAAAATTTAAAAAAAATTTAAATATTTTAAAAGTTTAGAAGATCAAGATGACTAATAATATAAAATTTGATATGTAGCATATATTATGATTGAGGTAAAAATATATTAGCAAATTAGTTCATGTTAACAAATTACTCGAGCAGTTTTTATTTAACTGATTTGTACATATATATTTTAAATATTATTTGCGCAGTTATCAATCAAAATGCAGTCTAAAATTGTTTGTACTTTAAATTTTATAGTGAATATTTTTGAATACTTGGGCAATTTTATCATTTAATTTAAAAAAAAATATATAATTTAAAAAAAAAAATTAATTTGCGCAATTTTACGATATTTTTTATTTAAAATAACATCTTTTTTCTTATCAAAATTACTATACATTTTTAAATCTTGCATGCCGCGATCATCTAATACGTTAAATTTTGTTCTTTATCATAGATGGCCAGTATCTCTTCATTTCAGCAGGCGGCAACAACATTCAATCACCTATTTCCCTGTAACTGGCACTTTTATATCCTCACGGTTCTCATTAAAAGAATTAATAAATCGAATAATTACTTTAAATTATCTGAATCTCCATAAACCTTGACAAGCGATTATCTTAACACTTTCCCAGACACTCCGCCAGATAACAACGAATCAAAAAGACTGTGACACTACTGCGCATGTATTATTTTTATCAAACCTACAATCCAAGGAATTATTATTTTAACTATTCCATAATCATAATGTTTATGAAGGGCCAGACGTTATTTCTTATCAGAATCTGGGCACATATCTATCCCAGAAGAATCTCGAATCTCAGGTGGTCTCAGTCAATACTAGTATAGCTTCCCCACACATTTACAGTCTATGTAACATTCAGGTCAATTGTAAAGGACTCGATCTATTGCATTGTAGATACTTGAAAGGCAGATATTCGTGCAATCGTATAATAAATATCTACATCATAAGGCCCTTTTCCATCCATGAAACTGTTAGGATTCAATATCGTAGATAGCAAATGCTAAGAAAGAAAAACACTCATCAGAGAACAATCACTAGTTCGAGACTATACTTGTATAGATTTGCTAGTAAATCCAATTAATACATCTCTTCAATCATGGCCGTCGAAACTTCGAAAGGTCTTAATGTTATTTCCTAGAAAATGTCATAATACTACATTTTGTCACCTCTAAACTAAGTAATTTTGGGAAAGATGCATCCCCTTTCCTAAAAGAATCTCTGGGGTAAACTCCTCTTCTATCTCCGGTAATCTCAAGTAAAACTTTTATTTCAGGCAGGCAATATCTCAGATCATGCAGATCCAACTGCGCACAACCCACATATGTATGCACTTATTCTAATAATTTTATTTTTATTTTTTAATTGTAAAATTTATGGATATTTATATTTACTTTATAATTTTAATGTATTATATAAAATATATTAAAAGAATATTTATAATAAATAATAATCTCTTAGGTCATATTAGGATTTGCGCATCGCTTATATAGTTGTTTGCTTAAGATTAGAAGCATTAGTTTAAAAATTTTTTTACCATGTTTTAATTTGTCCAATTGAATAACTTTTTCTTTAAATATGAATCTATACATTTGTTTAAAAAGTTGTTTTATTTATCTCAAAGCTAAAATTATATTTTTATTGACTATATTATTTCAAATCGTTTTTTTTTCCAAATCAAATTGTGTAAAAATAACCCCAAAAAGTTACAAAATAGAAGGAATAAAAATAAGGATTTTAATGTTTAAAATTGGCAAGAAGATTAATATAACCCAAAAATCCCAATATTTTATTTATTTAAAGAGCTATTTCGTTGTTCCTTGTTGTTTCCTCTTTTTCTAATATATTTATGGGTGTAAATCTTGTTCCATCTCTAATTAAATTTATTAATAAAATTTTATAATAATATAAGCGTTTATAATATTTGATTTATTTATTTAAATCTATACATTCTGAATATAATATTGGGGATTGATCTATCCCTAATTCCGCAATCATGAAATCCATCCATATTAAATTATTATGTTTAAATTTGAGACAGATGAAAAATGGGTTCATAAATGAGCCAACTTACAGAAGAACCTCGAGAAGGATTTTTCCTCCTACAAGGGGGTGCCATATAGCAATCCTTAGAAGCTAACTACATTAGCTTTAAATTTCAAAGAGCTAACCTAGACATCTTATACTTCTTTCTCCTTCTCATTTTATAGCACTTCCTATCTTTATATAGTTTTCTAGATATTTGTTTTGTTTTAAAAAAAAATTTTATATATATTTTGTTAATTCCATTTTATCATCATTTGTTTTTTTTTAATTTTATTTTTGTTTTTTTAATTTTGAAAAGGAAAAAAATAGATAATTTAATCATTTTAAAAAAAAATACATATAATTATTTAATAAATACTATAAAATAATATTAAACATAAATTATGCCTCAAGATAAGATTCGTATTTTTCTTTTACGTTGCCTTAGCCTTAATTAGTTAATTAATTGGTAATTTTTTAGGGTAGTACCCAGTCCGAAACCCTAGAACCCATCATGTGTCGGGTTAAAAGGACTAGAAAATACGCGAATAGTTGGCCAAATAATGTTTTTAGTAGAGGGTCTCCCCGCTAGAAAAAATTAATGAGCGACATATGTCCGGTTTTAAAAGGACTGAAAAATTTGTGAATATTAAGTCTTGCTCAGAAAGTTTTTCTGCCCGAACCTCGAACTTTTTAAAAAAAATATTTATTTCTGGCATGACTGATCTACGATGTTTAATTCATCAAAAATAATTATGGACCAGGACTAGTTACCAGAATTTTGGGCTAGTAAGATACTAAGTGCAAAATGTTCCTAGGGTCAGAATAAAAAAATATGGCTGACCATTCCGGGCTAATTTATAGTTAAAATATGTGACTTTTCAATATTCAAAAAAAAAAACGGAAAAATTCCTATTCAACTAATTTATTACTTGGATAATATGTGCAGTTTGTTATTTATGCATATGGTATTATTGGTCAACTGAGTACCATTTACCACGAATTTGTTCTCCATGTATTCATCATATTTATGTTCGATCGTTCTGTTTTTGCACTCCCAAAATTGATTTAATCCATAAAATATACATCTTATTCTGCATTGAAGTTTGCAGGAATCTGCATCTATACAAAAAAAAAAAAAATAATAATTTAAAAGTATATATATATATATATTTTTTTTAAACTTAAAATGTATCTGTAAGTCCTTTTCCGTTGTTCAATTTTCCCTAGAATGGCAGTGCATTCTCTATCATTAGCTTCTTTTGATGTTACCTTTGATTTTTTTTTCTAAATATTTTATAAAAACCATTATTGGTATAAAGAACAGGGTTATTCAAAAAAAAAAAGCAAAGAAAGAAAAAAATAAAATATAGTATCGTAAATATTTGCTTGTTAAGCGGTTCCATTCTTAAAAATGGCTAAACACAATATTTTAGCCAAGAAAATACTATTACAAGCCTGTAGATTTTTACTCACAGATGGCAGAGAGGTTTGGACATCTATTGCTGAAATCTTAAGCTTGCGTAATATTTCTTGGCTAAAATATTGAGTTATCTTAACAACATTCGTAAAACTTTTTCGCGATTATTTCGTATTTTATGATTTATTGCAAGCGGTCCCGGCCCTAAGCCTAGTCCGGGTATGACCCACGGGCCAGACCTAAATTTTATTTTTATCGATATAACTGATCTTATTTTTCCTATCAACTTTCCTATCATCTTAACGTGAAATAAATCGAGGGAGACTATATAACCTATATCATGTTAAATTTTAAGAAAATATTTTTTTTATACAGGAGATTCGATTCCCAGACTTAACGTTCCATAGGTAAATGTTCTTTCCTACTCAGCCCTAGTGTTGTTAAAAGGCTCGTTTTGAGCCGATTTTTCGAAACGGCTAACTCAATATTTTAGCCAGAAAAATTATACTTAGGGCTCGAGAATTTGATAATATTTGTCTGAACCTTTGTTCCTTCTATGAGCAAATCCTTCAGACTTGCGTAATATTTTTCTGGATGGAAATATTGAGTTAGCCTTTTTTAAAAATCGCCTCAAAACTAGCCATCTAACAACGCTAACTCGCCCCCCCCCTCTCCTTGTATGTTAAATTTTGTAATACAATTCTTTCTATAAAGAAACTATATTTTGATAAAGTAATTAACTCTTATAACTGTTTTTTTTTAAATAAATTCTTAAATTAACCTTCGTATTAAAATTTCGTATCGAAAAAGATTAACAAAATATAGCCAATAAATACCGATATTCATATTTATTTGCGTATTTGGTGAGAATACTATGTGGTAACCCTGTCAAGAATAATTTTCTACTTTATTCGATGATGGATGGAATGACTGACTAATAACTTTCACTTCTAAAAAAAAAAATTGGAAAATTATAGAATGACTCATCATTTAAATTAATATAAATACCTAATCATACCTCATTAAATATATTTATAAAAAAAGTATTATTCTCATCATTCTTGACGGGCTAATCATTCTTGACGGGCTATCAACTAGTAATTAGCAGAGTTGTTAAAGGATCTAGATACTTGTATCTAGATATAAAAATGTGGTATCTGTATCTAGATAGATTTTTTATTAAAATATCTGTATCTAGATAATATTTTAGACGATGTATTTGTATCTATATCTATTTAAAAAGTATCTTTTAACAACTATGGTAATTATTGTTGTTAAACGGCTCGTTTTGAGCCGATTTTTAAAAACGGCTAACTCAATATTTCATCTAGAATAATAATTACGCAAGCCTGAAGATTTTGTTTGTAGAAGGAACAAAGGTTTGGACATCCATAAGCGAAATCTTAGGCAATATTTTGCTGGCTAAAATATCTAGTTAGCTGTTTTAAAAATCGGCTCAAAACGAGCCTTTTAACAATACTACTAGTAATATTATATTCTCGAAATATTATTTATATCTGTTAGCTTCGATGTGTTTTGCAATTTGTTATTTTTCCAAGTTTAACGTTTTTATTCCAGCGTGAGTTTAGAATACCTATCCTATGAATTGTAGACAATTTTGTCATTAACCTTTGAGTCATTTATCATTTGTACAAAAAAAATATATATGGAAAAACTATTGCTTGTTTCTTGATAAAAATTAACTTTTTTTAAAAAAAATTAATAATTAATCCTTTTTTTTATTTGAAACCTCTCATATTGAGCATCTTTCTCGCTCGTTGCTCGATTTTTCTGACATACATATTCATCATTCCTTCGCTATTTTTGCTCATCAATCAACTGACCTCTCACAGGCGCTTTTGCTTTATTATTGGCTGCATTTTTTTTATACCTATGGTCATCCCCCATGAAGGCAAAATCTGCCCATCCTGCCTGAAACCAATACATTTAACAAATGATGGAGAATATTTTGTTCATGGACCAATCTCTAACAGGTGTCCGCATTCAAAACACACGCCTCTTTCTCAGATCACTTACTCGCTTCCCCTCCCTCTCATAGATCCCCCCCCCTAAACCAAGAAATTGGTGCCTCATTCTCAGATATTTTTCTTAACTCCACAAAACCAAGTATCATAACGAGAATACAAGTAGCTAAATCTCTCAGCAACTGCATATCTTCTCTTTTGCAAAATTTCAACAAAGAAGAAGAATGGTTAAAATTTCTAAACTTCGGGTACAATACTTTTAAAATACCTGACATATCACTCCAAAAATCCTTAACTCAACAAATAAAAGATACCTGTTTAAACATCAACACTCATCTTCATGAGTCCCGTATCTCCAGACATCCCAAAAACAAAAACAAAAATAACCCCACTTCAACAAAAAGCCTCATTGATTTCGAAGAAAATTGACAGTCTTAATATCAAAGGGGCCCTCAAACTCATTTCAACCAATGACACTCTGGCGGAATCCAATTTAGATACCTTAATTAAGCTTCGATCAAAGCATCCCACAACAACATTTATGCCAATATTGCCCCAACCCTACTCCCATTGTGCAGCAGACTTCACACAGGAAGAAGTAAGGAAAGCAATCCTATCTTTTCATCGGGATTCGGCTCATGGTCTAGATGGGATTAGACCAATTTTTTTACAGGACATTACCTCTCCTGTGATCTGTACACAGGTTTCAATTCTCACTAAAATCACAAACTTAGTCAACAAAATCCTAAATGGAGACGTACCCAGCTTTATTACCCCCTTACTCTTCGGTGCCAGACTCATCGCACTCCAAAAACCAAACAAGGACATTCGGCCCATCGCCATTGGTTCAACATACCGTAGATTGGTCGCTAAATTAATCGCTTCTATGATCAAACACGATGCCGCACACATTCTAAGCCCCTACCAACTTGGTGTAGGGATACCTGGTGGGTGTGAAGCTGCTGTGCACTTAACAAGAATTCATCTTGAAAATAACCCAAAAAACGAATCCCTAGTAAAAATTGACTTCTCTAACGCCTACAACACTCTTTCGCGCAACACGTTCCTACATTCAACTTGCTTCCATTTCCCCGCTTACACCAAATTTCTTTTCTCTTGCTATCAATCACCAACAATCTTACAATTCAACAAAGAAAAGATACTTTCTGTCGAGGGTATCCAACAGGGTGACCCTCTCGGATCCCTTCTCTTTAGTCTTGGAATCAATGACATGATAAAATCAATAAACTCTTCATGTACTCTATCGCTCCACGCTTGGTATATTGATGATGGAATCTTGAGTGGTCCCTGTAGTGAAATTACCAAAGCAGTCAACATAATTAAAGAAATTGGCACAGCCATTGGACTTTAGCTTAACCAGAGCAAATCTGAATTCTCACATTTAAATTCTAATGCTCCCAACACTCACGATTTCAAATTCACATCAAGCGTTGAATTAACACATCTAGGATCGCCTGTAGGAAGACACGAGGCAATAAGCACCTTTCTTCATTCCACACTTGACATACTCCTTAAACTGGAGGACATCTTTACACTTCTTCCATCACACAAGTCCTTTTTTTTGCTAAAAAATTTCTTTTTTATACCAAGGATTCTTTACGCACTTCGGTCAACACCAATTTTTAAATATCCTATTCCTCTCCAAACTTACGAAAAAGGAATAAAGGACTTAACCGAAAAAATAGTAAATATCAGATTCAACGAAACCGCTTGGGCCCAAGCAACTCTTCCAACCAAATTTGGTGGTCTCGGCATCAGATCTCCACATGACTTAGCAATAACTACTTTCATATCGAGTAGTCTCTTGACAAAGCCAATAACCACCGCCCATAATTCTAAAGAAGACCTTTCCTTAATCGTGGCTATGGATATTTGGAAAACAAGGATCAATGCTGATTCTCATCCCCCCACAACCCATAGACAGAAAGACTGGGATGCACCTGTGGTTGCTCGCTGCGTTGAAACTCTCTTATCTAGCATGCAATCTACTGACCGCACCCTATTCTCTTCCCTGCTCAATGGTACGGGACATGAGTTTCTTGAGGCCATCCCATCTACCAATCTTCAGCTTCAACTATCCAACAATGAATTTACCCACGCCATCGGCATTCGTCTAAATTGTTCAATCACTCACCCTCACATCTGCTCAGGATGCAACTCGCCAGTTGACTCGAAGGGTAGACATAGTTTACATTGTCGCTCCTGTAATGGACGATTCATCAGACACAAGCAATGTAATACAATCATCCAACATGCTCTGAAATCCGCCCAAATTCCTTCCACTTTAGAACCACAGGGTCTTTTTAGATCTGACGGTAAACGTCCTGACGGGATCTCTCAAATCCCATGGAGGAGAGGCCAACTTTTGGTATGGGACTATTCCTGTATTGACCCCAGTTTTTAGTTGTTCCTTCTGGTCAAGGATGTTGATGGCGTGGTTGGAAGCAAACTCTCAGAAGAACCTCGAGAGGGTTTTTTTCTTCGTCAACGACTATCCATAGCGATCCTCAAAGCTAATTATATCAGTTTCAATGGTAGTCTTCTAGCCAAAGAGCTATCCTAAACAACACTCACGTCCCTTTTTCATTTTTGTTTCCCAGCGCCACTCCATCTCCGTTCTTTTTTTTTATAGTATTATTATATATTATAATAATATATTTTTTTTTATAAAAAATTGATTTCTTTGTTTGTTTTGGATGATGAAAAATAAAGGTATTATTATTATAAAATTGTAATTAAATTCAAAGGTTCGTTGGCAAAATTGTAAGAAATTCATAGAATAGGTATTCGAAACATTTTGGGATACATTTATGGTAAAATCAAATTCTTAGTTTAAAAAAAATAACACGTTGTTGAAAAAAAAACACATTCCCTTCCCGCTAACATATGCACTATTTTTTAATTATCAATTTATCATTTTATTTATTTATAATGTTTGAAACTTTATATTAATTTTATAATATTTGTTTTACATAAATGGTAATATATTTGTTTTATTAAAAAAAATAATTGAAAACCAATAAAAGATGAATTTATTTATATATTAAAATTAGAATGAAAATGAAAATAAAATAAAATAATTTTTTATTCTTTTATCTCTGATTTCTTAAGGTATTATTAATATGAAAAATAAATCTATCATTTTTAGAATAAAGAAAAGGATTTGAAAAGAAAGTGAATTTTCATAAAAATTTTATCAAAATAAATCCGATCCGGGTCTGAAAATATTGAAACCGGGTTGAAATTTTTTTATAATAAACCGGGCCTAGAGTGCTGCGGATTTCGGATTTTACACATTTTCGATTACATTTTTAAAAAAAAAATCAAACAAAACATAATTTATTTCACTTACTTTACATGGGACAAATATATCACTCTCACCGCTACAAACCCCCGAGTTGGGACTAAAATATTAATTTTTGTGTTTTATTGTTAAATTGTATAATGTTATTATTAAGTAAAAATTATTCTAGTGTTATGCTAAAAAAAATTTCAAAAGGATCCATTTGACAACAACTTGCGTGTCAGGGTTAGAGTCCCAAAAATTGATCCAGACCCAAGCGCTAGTCGAAAAAATTAACCAACACCTATGCGTGGAGTCGAAAAAATCGTGTCTACTTGTGATGAGCAAATTCACTTATCAAACCCAGAATTTCTAGCTGGATTAGGAAGGAGTGTGGCTATTATTGATCTCAAATTTATTTATTTCTTATTCTTCATTTATGAGAATGCCATTCTTGTGTTTATTTTTTGTTTTAATTAGTATTGTTAAAATAGCTAGATTTGGGTCGGTTAAAACGGACCTATTAAGATTTTAGCTGAGATTTTTTATATAACCCCTGGAGATCTTGCTCATAGGTGTCAGAAAGGGTTGTATCCCTCTACATGTCAAATCTACGAGACTAACTTAATATTATTTTGACTTAAATCTTAAATCATCGGGTCATTTTCAAAAATAGACCTAATCGGGACGTTTAACAACACTTATTTAACTGTCCCTTGTTATATTATTTATTTATTTTGCTCTTAAAAACCAACAATTGAGAACTTCGAGTAATTTCGCTATTTTTTTGTTGAAGGAGTTTTTCTTTTTGTAAATGGAAATTTGTCGGCTTCCTTGCTAAAAAGTCTGGGATTATGCAAGGAGTCATAGCATATCATGTAGTTCTTAAAGAACGGCAAATGAATGAATATTTGGAATTATGGGGTTTATGAAATTATCATATATGTTGGATAAAGATTTATAACAACTAATTCAAGTTTATATATATTTTGGAAGTATTGATTTCGAGGTTGTCAGTATAATATAAGTTAGAAGCTTTAGGGAAGGTTGAAACGGGAATCAAATGATAATCAACTTCTACACATTCAAGAACACAAATGTACAATAGTCTCTTAGTTAAGTTTGATTCTAACTTTGATAATTTTTTATACTCGTTAGTTTTTTTATTATTAATTCTAAATATTCATGCTAAGTTTCACGATAACTACTTATTTCTAAAAAAAAATCGATTCTGTGAATACTTATATAATCTGATATGCTTGAATGATTCTAACAGCCGATCTTCGGGAAATTTCAATGAACGGATTTGAAAAATAATTATTTAAACGTTAGAGTTGTATAAGGGTTTTACGATGATTTAGCCAAATTATATAACTAGAATACTCTTTTATGGCCCACTATATTAATTTTTAAAAAAATAGGGAAAAATAGTAGTCGGTCAAAGGAATGTGAACCAGAACCCGGGTTCAAAAATTTTAAATTCCATTTAGTGGAAATTTTTTTTATAAAAGGAACTTAATCGAAACCGAATTCCTAAGAGGGGTCCAAACCTGCCCCAGGTCCATACTACCCCGAGTTTAATGAGTTGTCCTTATATCGGTTTCTGATTGGTATGTGGTTTCAAAATGCCCAACCAAACAAATATTCCTCAACCCGGGTTCAAGTTCACTCCTGCTTGGTCAAATGCCATAATATAATATAATACTTTTAATAAATAGACTGATAAATGCTTTAGCTTCTCCATACAAATATTCCAAATGATCCTATTTTGGTGAATAAATACTTTTCTCTTAAATGCTACGTGGAAAACAGTGTTCATTATAAATATAAGATATATAATTGCAATTATTTTTTAATCTTGAATTTAAAACAAGGATCATAAATATACCTGATTTCTGTACATTTCTTCGCTTGGAAAGGAATTTCAAATCCCATGCAATTTCCATGGAATCGCCATCCAATTCCCATATGTTTTGCACCAACTTCTGGGAAAAAAAATATTTCAATGTCATTTAAAAAGTTATTAAAATAATTTTATATAATGAGTAATGAGAAGAAGGGAAAAAAAGACAAAAAAAAAATCATTATATTACTGAATTTTTGCCTAATAATCTTTGTTGACAATAAATAATGCATAATTTCAACAACAAAAAAACATTCGAAAATTATATTAAAAGTTTTATTCAGTTAAACTAAGATATAATGAACCTTCAATCAAGTTACTTACCAATCACAGACAGGTGTCAGAAATGTGTCAATAATAAGAGAATCGTTCGGTATTGATATCATTAAATACTTCTTTTTTTTTATTTTTTGCCAAGTTATTAAACTCTCGAAAAGCTAGTAGAATACATTTTTTTTGATCACCGGAAAAAAAAATATGTTTTTATAATTTATCATAATTTTTGTTAATTTTTTTTTAAAATTTATACTACTTAACCCCCCCCCCCCCCCATTAATCTAAGCATTTTAATCGTAGCAATGGCCTTCCGTGAGCGTTTAAAATAGGCGCAGGCCTCTCGCGTGCACAGAAATAACTTGCATCCGATTTAAATATTTTGGATGGTTCTCTTCTCAGTGAGCGGTTCCCTCTCACTTAATCCGAGAGCAAATTACAAGATTTATCTCCGACCAATGATATTCGACAACTTTTTTTTCCAAAGATTCTAATTCGATCCGAAATTTTTATTTATTAGTTTTGATTGGATTCAACATAAATAAAGATTTTTTTTATTGGATATAAAAATAAAGATTTTTTATCGGCTCAAAAAAATATTCACGTTACACGTGTTAAATTTAACTTAACCTTTTTTTTTTAAATATAGGCCACAACATTTTATATAATATAAATTAATTTAAAATTATTCTTTTTAGAACCTGATTTTTTAGTGGGAATTTTTGAATCCTCATTTTCTATAACAACACCTTTATCTTTGGCGAGAATTAGCACGTTGTTTGGGTTCTGTGGTTTACTGAAGGTTACAATATCTGTTTTTGCTTGCACTTATTTTTAAAAAATATAAATAATTATTTATTTTCAATATTAAAGTTTAGAAATTAATTAACCCATCAAAGAAAGAATTAATTAACATTTTCAAAGATAATCATGTTCTTTAGTAAAAAAAAAAAATAATGTTTCACATTATATTTTCTAATTAATTGTTGCTAGCAATCTTATTAAGGTAAACTTTATTACTAATTACATGAAATCCGAAGCCAATTGGTGCTATGAACAGAAATGATAATAATATGAGAGAAGAGAACCAAAATGTATATAAACAACTCATCTTCATTTAAATGATGGTCATAATAATTAGCCAAATTGGATATACCAGATTTTAAGAGAAAAGGGTCAAGATAAGGGCTAGAATCAATAAATTTTTAATATAATTGAGACTTTGAGACGAGAGTCCAGATGTCTTTGATTAGATAGAAAAGTTTGGTAAAGAATCAGAAAACTAAAATTGTTTCCTACAAAAGTTTTCGATGGAAACCCGGATCTGATCACTAATTTAATGGTTTTTAAGCAATTGAGTCGAGCAAATAGCAAGGAACCTCCAGGCAATAATAGTATCTTTGCGATTAAGGAAAACATATTGAGGTTGGGAGTAGTTGGATATATTGAATGTGGGGACATTGGGCAATGTAGGGCCAATTTTATTTTCTAATCATTTTTTTTATAGTAGGTCCAATTATATTTTATTTTTAAAAAAAAACTCATTCAATTGAACATTCCGTAAGATGAGCTATTTATCAAATTGCGAGGATGACAATTTTATAACGCTTAAAATTTGGTTAAAGGTGGTTTTCCTTCGAAAGTTGAAGTTATATATTTTGATAAAAATATTAATTGAATAAATTAACCCTCAAAAAGTTGTAAAATGGAAGGAAAAGTGAATTTACCGTGCATTTGTACATATATATACACCATTGTAGTATTGTCAAACGGCTCGTTTTGAGCCGATTTTTTAAAAAGGGCTAACTCAATATTTCACCCAGAAGACTTTTACACAAGCCTGAAGATTTTTGATTGTAGAAGGAACAAAGGATCTGTTCGGCTAACTCAATATCATCCAGAAGACTATTACACAAGCCTGAAGATTTTTGATTGTAGAAGGAACAAAGGATCTGTTCGGCTAACTCAATATTTCATCCAGAAGACTATTACACAAGCCTGAAGATTTTTGCTTGTAGAAGGAACAAAGGATCTGTTCGGTTAACTCAATATTTTATCCAGAAGACTATTACACAAGCCTGAAGATTTTTGATTGTAAAAGGAACAAAGGATCTGTTCGGCTAACTCAATATTTCATCCAGAATACTATTACACAAGCCTGAAGATTTTTGCTAGTAGAAGGAACAAAGGATCTGTTCGGCTAACTCAATATTTCATCCAGAAGACTATTACACAAGCCTAAAGATTTTTGATTGTAGAAGGAACAAAGGATCTATTCGCCAAATCTCGAGACTTAGGGGAATATTTTTCTGGTTAAAATATTGAGTTAACCATTTTTTTTTAAAAATTGAAATTAAAAAAGTATATTTTAAAAAAATAATACAAATAAGGATGTATTAAAAAAAAATTAAATATAAAAACCTCTCCATAATTCTGCCATCGAAAAGGCAGAAATCATCCTTAAAAAAAAATACAAATACGCTGGCCTCACCAACACTGCGTTCATACCAAACCAATATCCTAGGCATTTTCTGCAGTGAATTTATCATTAAAATCATAGGGATAAAAGAATGAGAAAAATCTCGGCGGACCCCAATGAATGATTTTCCCTTGAGAAGCCTCTTCAATTTTTCTAAGCATTCACTTCTTCTCTAGGGATGATTTTTACCCTTTTTTTTAAATATTTTTTTTTTCCTTATCAGCAGATTATAATACATAATTTTTAATATATTCATATTTGTTTTTTTTAAAATAAATTTTAAAAAACAGAGAAAATAATATATAGTAAAAAAGGTTGTGTTTCATTATTTTTGTTACGTTCTTTATCTTCGACTAATTCTTGTTGTATCGGCGTAAATTTTGTTCCATCCCTAATAAATTAGTATTTTAATTTTTTTTTTTTAAAGTTTTTTTTTAAGGCTCTCTCTAAAATATCAACAACAAAAAAATAAAATAAATTAGCAAACTTTTCGAAATTTTAAAATTAAAATATTAAATAAGCTATTTAAGATGTAAAAAAATAAAAACATGTCCTAAATATAATTCCATTTCCTAAATTTTACATGACATTTGGGGAGAGTTTTTGAAACTTTTTAGGAATTATATTTAAAAAGATTTTTGGACATAGCTTAAAAGTATAAATATCTCCGAAAAATAAAAATGGTAACGCCATATTTTTGGAATGAATATAAAATCAAACCAGACTCAAATTAAAATTAAGGCCCGTGGATGTTTTTAAGTAGAGATATTTATGACTCGAAGGCCAAACACATATCACACATATCGGGTTAATAAAAAGGTTGGGAAATTTGAAGAAAAAAAAATTATAACTGTCTGGATTAAATTATGGGCTAGACCGCCATGAGAAAACGGCGGGGGGGGAGGGAAAATACATGTTGGACCATGCCCGACCTAGTCTGATAAATAATCGCTAGTGACAAATTATCTAACTTGGATAATCTGTGCGGTTCGTTATTTAAGCATATAGTGTTATTGGACAACCGGGTACCAAATACCACAAATTCGTTCTCCAAGTATTCATCGAAGTCAGGATCAGTCGTTAGGTTTTTACATGCCGAAATTTGGTTGTCATTAACATAATATTTACATCTAATTTTACATTGGAGTTTGCAAGAGTCTTTACCTATAAAACAAAAAATGATAAAATTAAAGATAAAGTGGTGTGGTGGGAGTTCAGATTTAAATGTATATATTATTTTTTTATACTTAGAATAGATACGTAGATTCTTTGCTCATATTCTTTCTCCTCAAGGATATCATTGCACTTTCTAGTGTTAGCTGCTTTCGACGTTACCGCTGACAAATTTTTCTAAAGTTAATATTTTATATAAAATTAGGTAAAACAGATTTCCCTTGCTTTATAATTTATGGTATCTTATAATTTAGACCTACAAACATTTTTTTTTCATCTTCTCATTTTATCATTCATTTTTAGTAGAGTAGATCCCAAGAGTCTTCACTACAGCGATCTGGAGTTTGAGCCAAGGGTATAAGGTTAAAAGATAGCAAAGCCAAAAATTATGAGGGGTGCAAATTATCATTATTTAAGCGTTTTCTTAGTATAGTTGAAAGAGAATTTCCCTATCTTAAGGCTATGTCCTAAATATCAATACTGAGTGGCACAATTTGCGAGTTAAAAATTTTACGATTCCTAATAAAACTTTAATCTTTCTATCATTTAAAGTTTTGTTAATTTGCGTAATTATTGCAACAACAATGACGAGCGTATATCAACTGATGGAAAATATAAGAGCACATAGAGATATCTATGGTGCAATATCGGCTTAAAATATTAGGATGAGACATATAATTAGTAAATTCACATCAAACATTTTCAAATGATTCGGGACATGTTACGAATATCTCAAAACTCACGAAGGTTGGGCATTTAGTCTAACTTTTGAGTAATTTTTTATTTTAGTTTAGGTCATATGGTAATAAGTGGAAATTTTAACATATTTTAAAACTACTTCTTATACAATAATATATAACTCTATATTGTTTTGGTTTTATTTTTATCATAATGGTTGTTACAAAAAACTTAATATTTTTTTTAGAAACGCTAAATTACTAAGTAAGAATTCTCAACCACGAAAATGCTTTGGTATGGGCTTTATCCCTAGTTATTCAAGCTCCATAACAAACGCAAATTATAAATTAAGAATTTTAATATTTTGGTGTATACACAAAACAAATTTTTTATTTGATATTTTTTAAAAAAACATAAAAAACAAAAATTAATACTTCTAATTTGGATTAAAATAAACGTTCAATATTTCACTTACGTTACACGGGACGAATACAACCATCTTACCATTGCAAACACCGGAATTGTTACTAAAATATTAATTTTTGTTAAATGTATAATTTATTAATATATATATTATCTAGTATTGCTATTATTTAAAAGGGTTCGTTTTATTGATAACCCTGGGTATTTTGGTTTAAAGTCGCAAACCCTTACTTGGAGAGCAGATAAAGATAAATATCAATCAGACTTTAGCGCATGTTGAAAAAAAACTGATAAAATCCTGAATTATAAAGATTATTCTATCTCCCTATTTCTTGTTATCGTTAAAATTATATTTAAAAAAAAATAATCAGATAATAAACATACACAACATGAATATCATATTTTTAAATATTCAAAAAATTGATAAAAATAATAATTTTTTTTCCAAAAAACATTATAAATGCAAAATCGTTTTTAAAGATGGTTAACAGCATTTTATCTAGAAAAATTACGCAGCCTGATGATTTTGCTAATAGGCGACACAAATGCTTGGGACATCTATAAATAAAATCTTGAATCTCAAATTTTTCTGGCTAAAACATTGATTCAGCCGTTTTGTAAAATACGGTCCAAATGGGAACGATTTTGCAGCGATACATTTACTTAATTATATTATTTAATTAATACGGTCTTAAAAATACACGGGGTTTCGATGTATGAGTTTCTCTATAAATAACTTGTTAAATTAGTTTTGGCAGAAAGTATTCGATACAAAAGCCATTCGCTATAATAAACATTCGCGATAAAAGTTTCGCGAAAAAAGGTATTTACGCGATATTCGCCTAAAGTGACATGGGACTCTAATGTTCCTAGCCATAAAATGGTCATAGTCTGTAAGAATTTCAATCGACGATTTAAGTTATTTAAATGATAAAGTTAACGTTCACATTTGTCGCGATCATTAAGATATCGAAAATTAG